CCAGCGGTTCTTCCCTGGGCGCAGTTCTGGCGATTCCTGGAGTCGACGCTTCGCGTACGTATTCGAACCAGTTCATCGAAGTGTTCGAAGTCTTTGGTATCGAAGCTGCACGTTCAGCGGTCCTCCGTGAATTGACACAGGTGTTGGCCTTCGACGGTTCGTATGTCAACCACCGTCACCTGGCGTTGCTGGTCGATGTCATGACCGTTCGTGGGTACTTAACTCCGGTCACTCGTCACGGTATCAACCGTGCGGACAATGGTGCGCTTATGCGTTGCTCTTTTGAAGAGACAGTTGAAATTCTCCTGGAGGCGGCCGCTTTTGGAGAGCTTGACGATTGCCGCGGTGTTTCCGAGAACCTGATTCTGGGCCAGATGGCACCGGCAGGTACGGGAGAGTTTGACGTCTACCTGGATCAGAACTTGCTCAACACCGTTGTCTCGAACAACGCACGGTATGGTGTCATGGGATCAATTGGTGCCAAGGACGCTATCATATCTGATGGTGCTGCGACCCAATACGACACTGGTTCTCCCATGCAGGAGAGTGCGTACATCGGCACACCCGACCCCGAATCGAACTTCTCCCCGATTCGCCAGGCCGGCGCCGAGACTCCTGGTGGCTTTACAGATTACCAGCCATCCGCTGGGTTTGGTGGGTTCAGTCCAGCGGCGACGAGCCCGGCTGGATACTCCCCCACAAGCCCATTCAACACAAGCCCAACGTCTCCTGGCTATTCTCCGACGTCGAGTTACTCTCCTACGTCACCTGGCATGTCCATCACCAGTCCTCGTTTCATGACATCGCCTGGTTTCTCTCCTGCCAGTCCGTCGTTTGCCCCTACGTCGCCTGCTTACTCGCCTACGTCGCCAGCATATGGACAAGCGTCCCCGACGTCTCCGTCCTACTCTCCGACGTCGCCTGGGTTCTCCCCCACCTCGCCCAACTACAGCCCGACATCGCCAAGCTTCAGTCCGGCTTCTCCTGCCTTCAGCCCTACGTCGCCTAGCTACAGTCCAACTAGTCCTGCTATTGGTGGTGCAGCCCGACACTTGTCCCCTACTTCACCTACCTCCCCAAAGTACACGCCCACCTCTCCAGGCTGGTCACCTACCAGCCCTCAGCAGTATTCACCAACCTCGCCGAACTTTGCTGGCTCACCTACGTCTCCTGGCGGGCCGACGTCCCCCAGTTACAGTCCTACTTCGCCAGCATACAGCCCTACGTAAGTTGTCTTGCCTGAGGAGTTCTAAAAGTTTTCAGGTTGACTAACATTCGTAATAGGTCTCCACGTCAGTAAAGCTAGTCGTGTCTTGCTTCGCTTTCCTATGGCCTTCGTTGTATTATTGTACCCATGTTATCGAACGAAACATAAAAAGAATCATTTTGCATCATATTTCAGCTGCACGGAATTGGCTGGTTATTTGTGTTTCACCATCTGGGGGTCAGCAGCCTTTTTTTCAAATGTATGTTTCTTTTTATGCTCCAGCCTGAAAACGGTGCTGTCTCTATTCTCTTGCCTTCCCCTTAATAGCTTTCTTTTTCTCTTGATTTCTCTTTTCGCAGCCGGCCTTCGGAGATTGTGAATGATTTGGTGGGTTGGCTACAGACGTTTTCTTCGAGCTCATCGAAATACCAAAGTGTTCTAGATTTGAAAATCCTTCATGGAGCGTTTCTCGAGTTGGTGTTTTCTTTCTTTTTCAGTTTATCTATTGCTTCCCCCCCCCCCCCCCCAAGTGGGGGGCTTTTTTTTATTGAAAATTTTTTTTTTATTTTAATTTTCTTTTCCCCCTCCACTTTATTAAAAAAAAAAAAAAAAAAAAAAAAAAAAAAAAAAAAAAAAAAAAAAAAAAAAAATTTACAGAACAACTTCAGCCCTAGTACGGAAATAGTTCATGCCTTAAAGGTAGGTCTGCATACTTGTAGTTCAGTAGCTTGGCGTCGGCGAAATGAAGCTCCGCGGGACAGGTGGCTTGTTCCGATAGAGGAGCTGTGACGCTATCTCCCCGACTATCAACAACGAGCATTCGACATAGGTATATCTGATTGAATGTTAGGTGTCGCAATGCGTCTAACACCCCAAATTACACCGAGTTGATATCAGTTACCATGAAGTGGTTATGGCGATTCGTTCTTCCCTTGGCGCTGCGTAAGTAGCTCCGCGGAGACTAAGATGGCTTCGGAGGAAATGAAGACGCTGACCTTTGCCAATTTCTGTTCGCGCAGTTCTATTGCAGGCACTTGTGGTTGAGTCGAATGATGCGTCTGCATCCACAGCTATTACTCGCGAATCCGCGGAGCCTCGAGCCGGCGGGGCTACCGACGCGCGCCCTGAGAATGGTGAGTAGGGAAATTGGTTATACTTCTGGATCATGATAGCTGATTGTTCTTGCTCTACTTCGTACAGAACATGTTACATCTGCGTTGAAGATCCTCCGTGACCCCAGACTCTCGACCGTTCAATCGGACAAGCCATACGGTATCGTTGGCTACACCCTACACTACACCAAAGGTGCTTTCCGAATCCTGTTCATGAACGGGCCTCCGCCGGATACGAATGCACGGAAAATAAACCCCAATGTGGCCAAGGCCGTGAAGGAGCTGGAGATCGCGGCGCGAGAGGACCAAGACCCCAACGCGATGTTCCTATTGGCGGAGATGAATTTCCACGGCAACTTCACGCACCCTCGCGACTTCAAACAGGCGTTCCAATGGTACGACAACCTTGCGTACTTGACGGGCAACAGCACAGCGCAGTATATGCTGGGTTTCATGTATGCGACTGGAATTGGCGGCGGCGTCGAGCGCGACCAGGCGAAGGCATTGTTGTATCATACTTTTGCGGCGGAGGGAGGCAATACGCGGTCTGAGATGACGCTGGCTTATCGCCATCATGCTGGTATTGGAGCTCCTCGTGACTGCGATGAGGCTACCTATTATTACAAGAGGGTGGCGGACAAGGCCATCCAGTACTATCGCTCTGGACCGCCCGGGGGTCACAATTTGATCCGCGAGGCATTTCGCTGGGCTGATGAAGAGGGAGGTGTCTATGGTGAAGGTGCCAGCATGTCGAGCTCAGGACCTAATGCATTGCGGGACTCGCAGTCTAGCACCGAGGCCAGCCTGGAAGATGTTTTGGAATACCTGGACCTGATGTCGAGGAAAGGAGAGCTGAAGGCTACCTTTAGCCTGGGCAAGATGCACTATGAAGGAGCGCGAGGCATGCCCCGGAGCTTTTACAAGTCCCTGAAGTACTTTAAGCAGGTTGCGAGACGCTACTGGAATAAAGACGGCTCCATCAACCCCAATCATCCCATGGGAATTGATAAATTGGCTGCCAAGGCAGCCGGTCATATCGGGTTGATGTACCTTCGTGGTGAGAGCGTGGAGCAGAATTTTAGCACGGCTTTTACATGGTTCAAACGCGGATTGGTTAACGGTGACCCGCTATGCCAGCATGAAATTGGACTGATGTATCTCCATGGATACGGTGTTAACCAGGATGCATTCAAAGCGTCTGCATACTTCAAGGCCGCATCGGAGCAGAACTACCCAGGATCGGCAACAAGATTGGGTGCTCTGTTTCTCGATCAAGGCGACGTCTCCACAGCCACGAAATACTTTGAGCTAGCCGCTCACTGGGGCTGGATGGAAGCGTTTTACTATTTGGCTGAGATGTCCAACAACGGAGTGGGCAGACAGCGACACTGCGGGATGGCCGCGTCGTATTATAAAATGGTTGCGGAACGGGCCGAAGCCATCCACTCATCCTTCCTTGAAGCAAATAATGCGTACAAAGACGGTGATAAAGAGCGTGCCTTGGTCGCCTCAATGATGGCCGCAGAGCAAGGATACGAAAACGCTCAGGCCAATGTCGCGTTTCTCCTCGATGAGCAGCGTTCCCTGCTTCCAGTTGACTCTGTCCTTTCGTACGGTACAAACGGCCGACGACCACAACCCTCGTCATCCTTACTCAAGAATGCCGCGCTGGCCCTCATCTACTGGACTCGTTCGGCTAAGCAAGCGAACATTGACTCCTTGATCAAGATGGGCGACTATTACCTCACCGGGACCGGTATTTTAGCTGACGCTGAAAAGGCCTCGACCTGCTACCATACCGCTGCTGAGGCTCATCATAGCGCACAGGCTTATTGGAACCTTGGTTGGATGCATGAGAACGGAGTTGCAGTCGACCAGGACTTCCACATGGCCAAACGCTACTATGACTTGGCGCTGGAGATTAATTCCGAAGCGTATCTGCCGGTGAAGCTTAGCTTGATTAAGCTCCGGTTGCGGAGTTACTGGAATAGCATCACCAATGGCAATATCAAACCTATCCAGGAGGAAGAAGGTAAGTCCTTTGCACAATGCATGCTGTCGAAGCATATGCTAACGACCTTAAGATTCGAAGCCCCGTCGAACCTTCAAAGAATGGATCACAGCATTCATCGAAAACGACGAGGAAGAAGAAGCCCGCTTCCGAGCCCAAATGTACAGACAACGAGCCGAAGAAGACGAAATGCTGGGAGCCAGCGGTGATGCACACGAGGAAGGCCATGACGACGGATATTACGATGATATGGAGCTTGATATCGACGAGAGCCTCCTCGAAGGCCTCATCATCTTCACCTTGGCTGCGACCCTGCTTGTGCTGATATACATCCGACAACAACGGAATCGCCAGAGACCTAATGGGAATGATGCTAATAATCAGGGGGCTCAAGGGAATGGGGATGATCGAGGGTTCTTTCCAAGACCTGGGGAGCCGGAGTTTAATCAATGGGTTGCGGGGGGTATAGGGCATTGATCATGATTTCGGACTATTAGCGTATTCTTCATGTTTGCATTCATCATATCCATTGTTTTTATTTGAATTGGAATAGTCTATTGTTACTGTTTTTAAGCTGGCATGCCTTGATGTCACCAGTCTTATCTTATCGATAAGCGCCCTTTAAGATTTCCGGCGCGTCTCGTCGCTCATCTCGAGTCTTTACAACCATCTTGACTCTGTGCATCACCATTGACTCTTACCATGTAATGAGCTGATCGAGAATATCAAAGCCACAATGACTTCTGTCAATATGTCCGGAAAGCGCCGTCGCCTCGAAAACGCGACATCCACGCTCACCAAACCGTTCAAGTCACCTCTCCGCCGGCCAGCACAAGCAAACAACCAGAAAGCAGACGACAAGTCATCTGCAACCGCATCTCCACGCAGTACAATAACCGACAAAGACGAAACAAACACACCCGGCCGAACCTCAACACCCCTCCCTTCCAGAACAACAACACCCACAACAACCCCCAACCCAACCTCCCAAACCCGCAAACGAAAGACTACCACCACCAGCACAAACACAATAACCCCCACCAAAAAAAGCCACATCCTCATCGACCCTGAATTATCCGCCGTCCAAAAACACCACCGTACCCTGCAATCCCGCCTCTCAACCCTCCGCGCCGACCTCGACACCGCCCAGCAAGCCCTCCGCATCGAGTCCTCGAACCGCGAAACAGAGCTCGAATCCCTGGTTAACAAATGGAAAGCTATTAGCCAGGATGCGGCAGAGGAGGTGTTTGCAGGGGCACAGGAGAGGGTTGCGAGGATGGGGGGGATGGGGGCTTGGAGGGGGCAGATGAGGAGTCAGCAGGAGAGGTGGGCGAGGGAGGAGATGGAGGATTGGTTTGGGAGTGCGGAGGCGGCAGGGGGTGAGGTTGATTATGGGGATGAAGATGGGATTGTGAGGGGGAAGGAGGAGGTGTTGGCGGAGTTGGGTGCTGCTAAGGAGAAAGAGGAGAGGAAAAAGGAAGAGAAGGGTGATGAGAATGAGGTATGCTTCCCTATTTTATTTCTCGGGAGCGAGTCTGGGGCCATTCACGAGTGATGCTGATTTGACAGGAATTTACTATGGACTTCATGCTCAAAACGCTGAACGTCGACCCGCAAATGATCGGATTCGACGCTGCTGGACAGAAATGGAACAAGAACTGAGACCTTGTGTGGGAATGTACGATTGAATTTATCAGAGGCCATCTGATTGTATGTGTATGCATTTCGCTGTTATGCTCCCTTTTCTTCACGATAAACGATATAGACAGGCGTTTAAAGGTGTACTTAATCTAAGGCAAAACGGATCGACTTCGAATAACGATGCTTTAACTTATCTCCGCATTTCAGTCTTTTGTATACAGGGCCCGATCACCATGCCGAGAGATAATGCCCGTTTCTTATCTATCTGCAGGTGATAACAAACCAGGCATAAGAACCTTGGAGATGCTTTTTTTTTTCCCGAGACATTTATAGTCGATTTATGAAGATCCATCAAAATGTCCGATACCAAGACTAAAACCGAAGCAACGGCATCAACGACCGAAACGGATAAACAACACGATGACTATGCTACCGGAGATACCCACGATATTGGCGCTGGTCTATATGCAGAAGCTGCTCAGTTTACAGCTGAAGAATTGGAAGAAGAGGGAGCTCGAGTGCGCAAGATACTGGATTGGCGGATTATGCCTATTGTACGTTGACTCAGCATATGAGTACATGCATTTACTGATAGTTCTTGATGGATAGCTCTATGTTACCTACGTTATACAATTCCTGGGTAAGAAAAACCTCCTTATTGGAGAATATGATATCGAAACTAACCTCATCAACGGCACCCAGACAAACTATCCCTAAACTACGCCTCCGCCTACACCCTAATCCCCGACCTCGCGCTCCAAGGCCAGCGCTATTCCTGGGTCGCAGCAATCTTCAACTTTGGCTACCTATTCTGGGCAATCCCAGCGAATCTGCTGATCCAGCGCCTCCCAATTGCCAAGTATATGGGTGGAATGATCTTGATATGGGCCGTTATTCTGATTGCACATGTGGGAGCGAAGAATTATGCTGGGATACTGGTTTTGCGGTTCTTGCTGGGGATGGCTGAGGCGGGTGTCAGTCCGTGCAGTAAGTCAATTAGCTAGTCACAGGTTCTAAGAGAGAAATCATTAACACAAGAGGTGAAAAAAGTGATGACAATAACATCCATGTTCTACAAACGCCCCGAACAACCCCTCCGCCTAGCCATCTGGCTCAGCGGAAACGGTGTCGCAACAATGCTCGGGGCCCTACTGGGATTCGGCCTAGGACACACCCACAACACACAACTACACAGCTGGCAACTCATCTTCCTCGCATTCGGCCTCCTCAACTTTATCTGCGGCTGCGTCTTCCTCTGGCTAATGCCCGATTCACCAAACACAGCCCACTTCCTCACCCACAAACAGCGCATTGTTGCCGTCCAGCGCGTAGCAGCAAACATGATCGGCGTCAAAACCAAAGAACTCAAACCCCGCCAAGCCCTCGAAATCGCCTACGACCTCAAAGTCCTCTCCTGCATAGCCGTCGGAATAGCATGCGGCATAATCAACGGCGGCGTCTCCAACTTCGCCTCCGCCCTAATCAAAGGCTACGGCTTCAGCGGCATCAACGCAACCCTCCTCCAACTCCCCACCGGCGCTTTCGAAGCCCTTATCGTGCCCCTCTGCGGCCTAATCGCAACCTTCATCCCAAACTCCCGCTGCGCCGTCCTCGCGGGTGTCTGTCTCATCCCGTTTGGTGGGTTACTCGGGATCCGCTTCACGGGGCTGGACCAACGCTGGACGCTGGTGGGGTGTACATGGTTGCAGTATATCGTGGGGGCGCCAGTGATTATCTCGTGGAATATACTGACGACGAATGTGGCGGGGCATACGAAGAGGTCTGTGGCTAATGGGTTGTGGTTTACGATGTATGCGGCTGGGAATGTGGCGGGGGCGAATATCTTCTTTGAAAGGGAGGCGCCGCGGTATTACTCGGCGTTGGCGGGGTTGTTGGTTTGTTATGCGGGGATGGTGGTTTTGGCTGGGGTTATGTATGCGTCGATGAGGGGGGAGAATTGGAGGAGGGACAAGGACGGGGGTTCGGGCTTACAGGGGAGTTCGGGGGATGGCGTTGATGCTCATGCGCAGGCGGTCTTGGATGGGTTGAAGGATTTGACTGATATGGAGTCGAAGCATTTTCGGTATGCGCTTTGATGGTAGGAGGAGGAATAGAATCATGGTCTCTATCAAGTAACATCATTATGAAATTAGATAAATCACAGAACATATAAAAAAGAAAAGATATATCTGTCCTTTTCAAGGACTATACTGGTACTGTATAATCCAGAATATTCCACTCCTCACCCTTCCAGCGCTCCTCCTGCTTCCGAATCAACAAGTCTTTCGCACCCGTGCGCTCAAGTCGTGCCGCATCCCACATAATGTGTCCCCAGCGGCGGATATCACCATTAGTCTCAGATAGCCATGCACTGGTGTAGAAATCCCGCCATGCTATTGTGCATGACAGCGGTGGATGCTTCTCATTTTCACCTTGAAAAGGTGACGGGCCGCGCCACCCTTCACCTAATTCTTGTAACTCTTGCTGCCGCACATCATGTGTTGTATCATCCAGGCTTTTATCTTGGAATTTGAGTGTTGGTCGTTCAATGCGCTCCTGCATTGTTGAGACCAGGACTGTGTGATCCTTGATCTGAAAGACACATTGCAAAAGCTCGAGGCCGCGGGAGAGTGTTCCCCCCAGTAGACATTCTCCGTTCCCTATCAAGTGATTGTCAGTTGTGCTCTCAGATAGTCAAGTACTGCTGCTGCTAATGATCTATATGAAGGAATAGAAAAGGGGAAGGGATGCAAGACTGACATTCACTATCAAAATCAAATGCTCTTGTTGTGGTGGGTGGATAATGTTCAACCTTTGGATTTGTAAGGTGTACATCATGGTAGATATCACTGAAAATCCGGTCAAGCTCCTCCTCAGCAAATTTGTAAATGCAGGCAATCCCCTCGATTTCCCAAGACTCATATATACATAGAAACAGCTTGAAGATATCACTGTCATCATCAAAGCCCCACCTACGATCCCAGACACTGCGGTAACGGCTGACGCCAAGCAGGTTACAGTAGAGCTGGAAGCAATATAGAGCACGCACCAGCCGCATATCCTCTGTCTTGCTTAGAAACTCGTCCGTCATGACACTGACTCTGTGGGGGGTCCATCTTGGTCTCTTTAGCGAGGCTGTTTAGTGCCCATTCAGTATAGGACCTGGTGAGAGGTATGACAATTGAGAAGTGGAAGGAAATTATAGAGATGATCTTATCTATGGTAAATATCTCTTTTAGTGATGTATGATGGTATATAGAAGAGCGGCTGTCCTTGTATGATTCAAGAAAATTGGTGACACTCTTAGGCGAGCGTGTGTTTAAGAAGTTAAATTAATAGGGCTGATAGGCCACATAAGCATCAAGAATGATGCTACCAAGGGTCTTCTCCAGGCACACAGAGTATGTGCTGTCGATCTAGCAGATACTGTTGGTGATATATCAGAGATGCATGAACCAGAGCTTTAAGTTCTTCATACTCCAGCGTGAAAAGGATATAACGCCGGATTTCAGCTGGGAGGCTCTCCAGCAATGTAGGATCTTCTGGTAAAGGCTCCGGTATAGATGTTTTGGACCGGGCGATATCCTGGGGACTGGCATGAGTTACCGCTCTATGCGTCGTGAACAACCATTTGAACTTATGCCCAAATTTCTCAGATGCATTTTTCACGAGAGCCTATATTATGCGAAACCACTCCATTTCGAGTATCTTGTCGTACATAACGAGTCAAGCAAAGGTGAAAGAAGATGGAAATAAACGGAGATAGGACAATCTCCTATACAGCCACGTGATGGCTTCTTTCGTTGATGACTTACTGAAAAGCCATGGACAAGTATTAAGCACATCTAGGGGATGAGTACGGAGGATGGAGTGAATGATTGATAGCTTGGGAAGTATGACTGTATGCGCCATGGTCACGTGGATCAATAACAAACAGCGTAGTCAATAGAAAGAACATGACCTCAACAAGCTCCTGTAACTTCAGTATTCGTTGATGTTACTCAAATCTGCTATACCAGCAGCTTTTTTAAAATCCCAGCCCAATATCGACTCCAGTCTAACCAGCACACCGGGACTATGCAGCGCAGCAGCAAGCATCGGCTTTTACCACACAGTCCGGAATCAACGAGGCTTGGAGTTTTTGGTACAGTAGACATTGCTTGCGTGTGATTCTCGTGTATGATTGCACAGTGTATTGTCATGATATCTTGACATATGTTTGAAGCAGCTGCAGAAACGCCATCAAAGCGGCAGAGGATGTGCGCGATAGTATGAATTTCTTGACATCGTACAGTGGCTACAGCTGACTATGATATAATACAGACGGTTGTGATCCCACCCTCGTCCCAGTGATGCTGGAGCTCCAGGCTTTAATACCTGAGCTCTTGTCATATAGCCGCTTATTTCCATTGCATTATCATGATAGAGCTTGAAACCGTCCCGCATGCACATATTTAACCCAACAAGGATTGCCCCAAAGTAAATAATAAAATAAATGCAGCCTCACTGCATGTTTAATATAGATAAGCTCGCTTCGCCCGTGGCAAAAACAAAAGCATACAACAGCCGGGATTCGCTGGCAGTCACCCAAACTACTAACCGGCCGGTGTGTGGCTTAAGTAGACGGGAAGCCCTGGGTTGATCGGGATGAAGCTAATTAGAGTTGTTCGCAATATACTTTCATTGATAGCCCTATGTCGTAACGTTAGTGATTACATTATCCGATAAGATATGTAACTCGACCCCTTTCAACCAGTACTATCAACCTATAATAAATACGATGCACATCCATATCTATGTACTGTAAATAATGAACTCAGTGCAGATTTTGCGGGATGAGGTGGATGCTCATGCGCGGGCGGTTTTGGATGGGTTGTAGGATATGGTGTCGAAGTATTTTCGGTACACGCTTCGATGTGAAAAGATGGATAAGAGAATCGAGGAACTCGATGAAATTAGAGTCACATGCTAGAATATAAGCATATACACTATCGCGCAGCTGGTCTTTTAGGGGGTGACTTCCCAGCCCGGAAACCAGTGCTAATTGGCGTACCGCAGCCTATTCCTTGGGTCAACGTCTTTCCAACACGCTTTCCACTGTCGATGCAAGACCTCCTTCACGCCTGTGCGCTCAAGTCGTGCTGCACCCCACATAATGTATCCCCAGCTGCGGACATCATCCTTAATGTACCATCCAAACAGGTTGCTGTAGGTCCCCTGCCATATTAGAGTCCGGGCCAGTGGTGGAAATTCTTCATTACCACCCTGGAAAGGTAATGGGTCACGTCGTTTTTGCTTCAAGTCTTGATCCGTGGGGTGTAGTCGGCGCCGCCTGGACTGTGGTGTATTATCCAGGATATCCTCAAGAGTCACTTTGCGCCTGCGATATCTGCTCTTGCATTGTTAAGACCAGTTGTGCATGGTCCTTGATCTTAAAAAGAACATCATGCAGCAGCTCGAGGCCACGGGAGAGGTTTCTCTCCAGAAGGAGATCCCTGGTGTCTATCAAACAAGTGGTTACTGGTTGTGCTTGCATGGGGAGAAGAGAGAAGAAGAAGAAGAAGAAGAAGAAGAAGAAGAAGAAGAAGAAGAAGAAGAAGAAGAAGAAGAAGAAGAAGAAGAAGAAGAAGAAGAAGAAGAAGAAGAAGAAGAAGAAGAAATGCAAAACTTACATCCACTATCAAAATTAAATGCCCCTTGCGGGGTGGGCGGCCGGTGTTGTCCATCAAACCTCGGATTATCTTGGTGGACATCCCAGCGGATGTCATCAAAAACTTGGTTGAATGTTGTCTTTGCAAAAGTGTAAATGCAGGCAATCTCCTCAACCTCCTTTGGTCCCAAAGCTCATAATTGCCCATGAATATCCTCAAGATGTCCACACTCTCAAATTCCAACATCCATTGACGGCGAGATCTGTAACAACTGACCCCAAAGAGGTTACAGTAGAGTTGGAAGCGATACAGAGCACGCGTCAACCGTGTTTCTTCTGTGCTGCTCAGAGATAAGTAGTCTTGTGTGTCCTTGGTATCTTTAGCAAGATTGACCACTGTCCAACCAGCATAGTACCGGGCAAGAGGCTTGATAATTGAGAGATGAAAGGCCACTATCGAGATGACTTGGTCCAAGATAAGCGTCTTCAGAAATGAATACTGGGACAAAAAGCGGCTATTCCCATAGGATTCAAGAAACTGAGTGATTATCTCCTCAGTGCGCGTTTTTGAAAATTCGACCAATCCAGACTGATAAACAGCACAAGCGCCGGTGGTATTGCTACCCAAAGTTGTCTCTAAGCATTTACAGAGTAGATGGTGACGATTTAGCAGATACTGCTGGTGATAGATGGAAGACGCGTGGACTAGGGCCTTTAGTCCTTCATAATCCAGTGTAGAAAGGAGGTGACGCCGGATCTCAGCTGGAAGGTTCTCCAGCGGTGTACTATTGCGGATCAGTTTGTCATGGGGTTCTTCCGGTACTTGCTCTGGCACAGATGGTTCGGATTGGGCAATACGTTGCTCTGGAGCGACATGAGGAGTTTCCGGTGATTTGGGATCTGGTCTACGCGACCTGATTAACCGCTTGATCTTATGCCCAAATCTTTCGGACTTGTGCCAGAATCTCTCAGAAACCCTTTTCGCGTTAGCCTTTCCTCTGCGAAGCAGATCCATATTGAGTGAATTCTTGCATAAGCGATCCCAGAGCAAAGGTGATGATGGTTCGAGATGCGAAATAAGTGAGATGGACGAAGCGAGAGCAATTGAACTGATAAAGACAATCGTACAACCCTTTATGTAGCCACGTGATGGCTACTTCCGTAGGATGCCAGTAGAGAAGCCATTGACAAGTAAAACGCTCCTGAAAAAGTGAAAGGAGGTAGGATTCAGATGGGAGTTGACAACTGGGTAACACGCGCCCCGTAATCACGTGGCCCTATACGGCGTCTGGGTCGCCAATATCAGAATCTCGTGTTCTCTATCATAGTAGTTGCCACACCAATGAAAGATGCTAACCATGATTGTTTGCATTGCCGCGCTCTGCTAACTTGTTGGTGAAGGCATCGAGCCACGTATGCCACGTAGAATAAGGATGTTTCGGACGATAGATCGGCGTTTGATGAGGCATTTTCTGGCATTTTTGTTATTTAGGCAGCAAGTGATGCATTTTGCTTTCTTTGATAGCCCTTGTTACTTCGTAGCGTAGCATCCGAGTGGTAGGTATCTAATCATTACTATTTCACGGGAACTCTTAGAACCGTTTAAATAAGCCCGTACCGATGCACCAAAATTTCCAAAATCAACCAGACAATCCACCCCGTTAAGCCCCAACGCCGAAATGCATCCATTGCCCGTGCTTCATTATTATGAAATCTCCATCCCCTCGAGATCTTCCCCGTCATAATCATCCTCATCCATACCAGCATTACCAAGCGCCAGCTGCTGCCGCTTAAGATCCCGATTCAAACCAAGCGCATCCGTCCCCCAGACACCCACCATTTCCAGTTCGGATCCTGTTATGATCCGTCCCTCAGTGTCAGCCACTTCGCAAAGCTCGATCATGCTCTGTTTGCTTAGAGATTTGAAGCCGTCTGTCCGCACGATGCGGCCCCAATGCGCGAGACAGAATTGCGCAGCACGGCGCATCAGCCATTCTTCGTTTGTTCGACCCGCTCGTTCCCAGACGATGGCTGCATTTTCGACATCAAGTTCGCGACTTAGCCGATTTACGCACAGAAGACGGAGTTTGGGCATGTCGTAGAGATTTGCCATCACGAGCATCCCTGCTACATCGATTATGTCAGAGCAGTACTCTGGATGGCCGGATATGCTATCTGTATAAAGGTAGTACAGAAAGGCCCGGACGACCGAGTAGGGCTCAGGGATATGCATCCTGTTTGCGTGATATTCTGCCATTCTGGAGGAGTAGAGTCGCTTGAAATGGGGCCACCTCAGCTGCAGGATAATGCGATGAACGTGAATCGGAGGCGACGTATCCGCATTCGGTGATAGGAAAGTAGTCTCGGACTGTGACGAGGACGAGGCATCTACCATGGCATCCGGGTCTCCATCATCATCGCGGTTAGCGGTAATGATAAAGTCAGCACCGCTGCCAGATTCTGGTGCTTGATCGAAGACAGCAGCTAAATCTGCCCCCAGGCCCGAAAGAGATGAGGGCTCGGATTCAGAAGCCAGTGTCTTTCGTTGATCCGGTGAGATGGCCCCCATCTCGTTTCCCAGTAGCCCGTATCTCTTCAAGTCAATACAAAGGATTTCACCCATGTGGTTCTCATCGCTGGCTCCCTGTCCAGCTCCGGCGTTTAGGTCACACCCAAGCAACCAAGCTCTTGTGCCATCTGTATTAACGGTGCAGTAGTGCCACCGATAACCCGGTTTGAAGATTTCGTGTCCATCTGCCAACCTTTGCCAGCGCAAGGTATCGAGTTCTAACAAAGATAAATTACACTCATATGTTCGCACAGTCTCAGATGGAGTAATCAGATCGAGAAGCACGCCCGAGGCATACGCCTGGAAATGAGTCCCCGAAAACAGTGCAGGAACGTGAGGACCTGACTGAAACCGAAGGGAGGATACGGCGCCTGGAGCAGCGGGCTTGCGCCGGTTCAAATTGCGAACTTGGACACTGCCAGAGTTTGGTGCGTAGCTACCGGACCGACCGGGCAGCTGCTGCGACGGACTATTACTTGAAGTCGCGCCTGGGTCATAAGTCATTCTGTTGCTGAGAATGGCGGGGAGATCCACGGTACCTTGTGACGCCGCGATTCCAAGAGACGGAGAGTTTTTGAGATCGAGCCACCAGATGTCGGTTGTCCGCTCCATGTCCGGGCCAAGTCCTCCAAAAATCCAGAGACGGCCACCCCAGACCCATGCCGTATGATCGAAGCGGGGAGTGAAGTTCCAGGTCCGAGACCAGGTCCAGGTCTTCAAATCCAAGTAAGTCAGATTGTCGAGAATGACACTGTGCTCTCCCGTCACTCCACCGATGATGAACAGATTATCCTCGTAAATCACGGCAGCATGGCGATTTCTTCCTCGTGGGATCGGGCCTCGAATCTCTGGCTGTGACCAAGTGGAGGTGGGGATATCAAAGATGACGACGTCGGACAGATATTCGCGATGTTCGTTTTCTCCTCCAAATACAATCAGTTTGTCACCTTGGTAGAGGGTCGCAGTGTGACCTATACAAGAAATAGACCAATTAGTCCTGCACTCCGTAACGGGGAAAATAATAGTTGCGCGAACCCATGCGAACTCCGGGGATATCCCCATAGTTATCCACCAATTCCCAACGAAGGGTCTGTAGGTCCAGCTTCAGAACGTGGTTGTACACTATTCCATAGTATATTAGTACGAGATCCCAATCCCGTTCTCTTGAATTTAAGCAAACCTTCATCGGTGTATTGATCAAACCCTCCAAAGGCGTAGATCTGATCGTTTCCGACATACGTCACGGAAGCATTGACCAAGCATGCGGGGACATGGCCCTGAGCCTTTTTAATGCTCGGGCGGTCGTCCGCACTATTCCGACCGGCGGCGGCAGGACTGGAGGGCATGATATACGGCTGCTGGCCGGAAACAGAAGACTGGTTCATTGGATTCGGGCCTGGAGACACCGTCCAGGACGATTGGCGTGGTGCAGCGAGTATGGAGGACGGTGTAGGGGGCCGGAGTGGGGGACGATTATGGTTGCCGTGCCATCAGGGTAGACCCAGGGGACAGTTGGCTTAGGGGCCCGACGGAGACCAACGCACCCGAGAAAACAGGAGGATAATAGAATGAAATAATGAGTCTCGATTATTGATTGCTAGAGCATTCACATTTGTATTTTCGTTTGCGATAGAGGTTTTGTAATCTGTACCACAAACAATGCTGCTGCTTTAGAGTAAAGCGGCTATAAAAAGTAACGTGATCTGCCAAGATGTGCCTTACCACTTTGGGAAAGTAGCCTCATGTCAGGTGGATACCTGTCCAAATCCGGACTAGTGCAGCCGTACCTCAGGTAACGGTTGCCCCGGCGAAGAAGAACTATACTCTGTATTTATTCTCTTCCTCTTCCGGGCTCCTTTTTGCTCTTTTCTACATCCTTTTCCCTTCCCATTCTCCTCTCTTTCCTCTTTTCCTGATTAATTGGTCTTCATTGCCATCTATTCTTCACTACTTTTGCTTTTCGCTTTGCAGCTGTTCCATACTTGCATCTCTTCGTCCACATACGTTCTGATCATTCTACGCCGCAATGGCTACGCCAACGGTATCAACACCTGTGAAGTCTCATCGAGGCATCTTCGCCTCCAAGACGGCTGGAGGTCGCATGCCTCTCACTCCATCTCCTCGTCCTAGAACTGAGAGCGTCACGTCAAACCACTCGTCCCCGTTCACCCCCTCCCGTGACCCGACAGAGTTCAGCAAAGATGACAAGAAGTCCGTCTACGGAGGAAATCTCACACAATACTTCACCAAGTCGGTCTCGACGAGGGCTTCTCGGAGTTACCGTGAATCTCCTAAGTCCAACATCGCCCGTATCCGCAAGTCCCCGAAGCATCTGGAGCTGGGTGTTTCGGAGTGGACCTTGACCGGTACCGGTCCTTCATCCTCGCAGTCTCCTTCGGCCAACGAGCGTATACGCAAAGATCCCCCCGCACGCAAAGACATCTCGACCCGCACACGATCTGGCAAGACCACGGTTCGCGTTCCGCACAATGCTGGCGACCGATTTATTCCCAACCGCACCGCGAGTGAAGGGCTCGCAACTGCCGGTACTGCGAAGCCGGAGGAAAGCCAGCGTCCAAAGACCAGTGGTAATGGCAAGGAAGGCTCTTCTGTACTTGCCAGCGCAGCTAGCGCTTTTGATATCGGTGGTCGTGGAAGCAGCGACGAAGAACTCACAGCGGCGCTTGACAACCTGGGCCTGGAAGATAACGAGGCCTCCACTTCCTCGTACACACGGCCAGCACCGGATGCGGTTGCGTACGAATCATCATTGGCCGATGCCTGTGGTGTGAACCTGAACACCAAAATCCTTGCCTTCAAGCCTCCTCCGCCCGAGTCGTCCAAGCCCATTGACCTCCGGGCTCAGTACAACCGTCCTCTCAAGCCCAGCAAGTCACAGTCCGCCCAGTTCCGTCGGAGAATCCAGACGGCTCCAGAGCGTGTTCTCGACGCCCCCGGTCTGCTCGACGACTACTATCTCAACCTCCTCGACTGGAGCTCTGGAAACCAGGTGGCTATTGGTCTCGAGCGCAATGTCTACGTGTGGTCTGCCGACAGCGGGTCCGTTGACTGCTTGATGGAGACCTCTCCTGATACGTATGTGAGCAGTGTCAAATGGAGCGGTGATGGTGCTTATGTAGGTGTTGGTCTGGGCACGGGTGAGATTCAGATTTGGGACGTTGAGGAGGGGACCAAGCTTCGAAGCATGTACGGCCACGACTCTCGTGTCGGTGTCATGGGCTGGTCCAAGCACACACTCTCCACTGGTGCGCGCAGCGGTCTTGTCTACAACCACGACGTCCGTATCGCCCAGCACAAGGTGGCAGAGCTCGTTTCCCACACATCGGAAGTCTGCGGCTTGGAGTGGCGCTCTGACGGCGCACAGCTTGCGACGGGCGGTAACGATAACCTGGTCAACATCTGGGATGCCCGATCCCTCAGCGCCCCTAAGTTCACCAAGACCAACCACCGCGCCGCCGTTAAGGCTCTCAGCTGGTGCCCCTGGCAAATGAACCTGTTGGCCACCGGAGGCGGTTCGTATGACCGTCACATCCACTTCTGGAACACCACCACCGGTGCCCGTACCAACAGCATCGACACCGGCTCGCAAGTGACCAGTCTGCGGTGGAGCAACCACTACCGGGAGATTGTCAGCTCGAGTGGATTCCCGGACAACTCGCTGAGCATCTGGAGTTACCCGACCCTGGTCCGCAACATCGAGATCCCTGCGCATGAGACTCGTGTTCTGCACAGTTCGCTGAGCCCGGACGGTCAGCTCCTGGCTACCGCTGCGGCAGATGAGAGCTTGAAGTTCTGGAAGGTGTTTGAGCGCAAGGCTGGCACCAGTGCTTCGGCTTCTCGTGAAGGAGGTGTTGGTAGCAAGGCGAAGATGAACAAGTCGATGACCATCCGGTAGATTGCTTTTTGTTCTTCATTTTTTCATTTTTCTTTTTCAAGGCGTTTTGGAAGGCTACGGTTTCTAGGTCATTGGGAGGAGTTGGATGCACGTTGGATACTATTTTGGGGCGCTCTTCTCTTTCTTGTATGGAAATTAGGGACATTGGATATTCTTAGGGTTTCGGGATTAATGCATATACGGTACTATTTTACTCTTTTACTGCCTATAGCATTATCCAGTGAATTTCCAGTAGATTTCTACTACAGAGTACAAGTACACTATGGGACGATATCGATCGACGCGCTGACTAAGCACCCGGGCGGCTCTACTTTCGCCGGGGAAATCGCAACTTTCCCCTTCCATCACCCCAAATCCTCCCGTTGACGCCCAGTCCGTCCGCTGTTCCCCGTCTCCCTCCAGGTCGAAAAGCGCATCGTTTAGGCAATCGAACGTCTTGTATCGTCCATCGCAAGTCGCTGCTCTAGGTTATTTTGGTGCTTGGGGAGTTTCTCGCTCGCTCTGCTTCGTTATTAGACGCCTGTGGCAACCGACCGGAGTCACAAGCCAGAGAAACAAAACCATCATCATATCGCTTTTATTTGATAGGCTTTTTTTTTTTGTTTTAGTGAAAGAAAAGAAGAAGAAGAAAATCAGAAGAAAGGAAAGAAAAGAGAAAATATTTGAACGGATACATTCCTGAGATCTCTCTCTCGCCCAGCGACCATGTCGAACCAGCTGGTGGTGAGTGGACGAGTCCTTTTCCTAGGGGAATTCACTGGGAATTATAGCTGTTCCTGGTGTCTTTTCTTCTTTCCTTCTGTTTAGTTTTGATAGAATCCTCGTCATCTCGTTGCTGTTGTTGTCAGAATCTTGAAGCTGATACCACGGTGATCTCTCTCCACAGGGCACGGTGTTCGATCTCGTCATCCAGGAGGTCTGTGATTCCTCTCAGGTTGATTTCGAAGAGAGTGGTGTGGACCAGCAGACGTTGTTAGACCTGCGACAGGTATGTTTTTTTTTTTTTTTTTTGTTTTTTGTCGAATATTTCATCGTTCTTCGTCGTTCTCGTGAGTCATCTTGAGGAGGATGCGGGAGGCTGTGTGTGAGGGGAAGCCACCGCCTTTTAAGAGGCCTCTTTTATAGGAGCCTCAGCGCCAAGCACGCCTCCGGTTGCCGGATTCGGACGGTTGACTATGTACATGGGACTGTACATTTTTGATCTGCATTTTGCTTCATATCATCACACCTCTACCTTTATCAGGCTAACTCTTTGATTACAGAGCTGGCAGAAAAAACTCTCGTCGCTTGCTGTCGCTCAGTTCCCTTGGGATCCGCCGCCGCCCCAAGCTGCCCCGACCCAGTCTCAGAACCAGATCCTTCCTCCTACTGCGACCGTGCCGTCGAATGCTCCCAGACCTAACCCTCCTCCCCAGACTCAACAACAACATGTTCCTCACTCAACACCACAATCTGTCTCCGGCACAGTGCCGCCGCTCCAGGCACCCACACCCGTTGGAGCAGCTTCCAATATGAACCAACAACCCTACATCAAGACTGAGCCCGGATTGAACGGCCAAGCAGGGTACCCTCCCATGAATAACATGATGTCAGCAAACCCCAACCCTCAGTCGGCCCGTGAACGTGCTGCTACCTTGATGCAACAACGATTCGGGGCTGCTGCCGCCAACTCCGTCAGTCAACTTCAAGCTCAGTCACAGACACAGCCACCGCCGTTGACCATGCCAGGACATCCGCGTCCACAGAACCCTCAGCCACAGCCACAGCAACAACAGCAACAGTACCAGGTGTCCAACGGTCAGGCCCCGCAGATCAAACAGGAACCCGGTTACCCGCCCATGAACCAGCCATTCCTGGGCAATGCTCAAACCGATGGCGCTGGTGACGCATTGTCAGAGTGGAAAGCAGAGGTTGCTCGACGGCGGGAAGCTGCCCAGCGTGAGCCGGGTCAGAACGACAGAGTCCTCCGTGAGCACTTGAAACAGCGTATGCTCGACATGGAGGGTGGTGGTCTTCTCGCTCCGTTGGAGGAGCGTCAACAAAAGCCATCATCAACCACTCGAAAACTTACTGCTGATATGGCGGCTCCTGACGCAGAGCCGTCCTCGTCGATTTCGATTACACAAGTACCCCGAGCACAGGCACAATTCGACGGCCCTGGCGGTGATGACGAGGGCGAGGAAGACGACGAAGACGCTATCAACTCCGACCTAGATGATCCTGAAGACCACGAGGCTGATGAGAATGAAGCTGAAGATGCCGTTGGACAGGTCATGCTCTGTACCTATGACAAGGTGCAGCGGGTGAAGAACAAGTGGAAGTGTACCTTGAAGGACGGTATTCTGACCACTGGCGGTAAAGAGTAAGTTTTCTCCCCTTTCTGGACTGTGCATACTTTATTTGAGGATGGTAATTGACCGTACTAGATACGTCTTCCGTAAGGGCCAAGGCGAGTTTGAATGGTAGATCTCAAGCCCAAGTTGTGGTATTCTTTGGCTCTGTTCTTGCTCTTGTACCTTTCTTCGTCATAAAAGCCACGCGGAAAGTCTCGCTACGGAATACGAGAAACAAGGAAAACAAAAGAAAACCAAAAAATCAATCTTCAAAAAAAAAGGGATAAGAAAGTGGTGAACGAAAAGAAATTGCAATACTTGGTTCCTACCCACAGAATGAACGAAATTCAAATTCCCCATTATCAAGGTTTTTTATGAAAACAGCGTGTACTCTACAAAATTCGGCTTTATCTGTTTTCCTTTTTTTTCCCCCATGTCTTGTCACCCTTAGATTCCTGACGACATCAATATCAATCATCTGGCGCTAACTCGTGAGGACGACTGTTTTTTTTTTTTTTTTTTTTTTTTTTTTTTTTTTTTTTTTTTTTTTTTTTTTTGATTAATTCCGGCCTAGGTAAATGAAATTGGCAATAGTGTTTGCTTTGTCTATTATCTGTCTTGCGTAGATCCATTCAGGGTTACGAGTATGGAACGCAACTAGACGGAGTATGTCAAAGCTACAACAGCTACAAGTTGAACCCAAATCTAGAACGTTTGAAGCAAGGTAATCGAGAAAAAATGAATTGAGAGAAGAAAAAAGCACCGAGTTCTATAAGCGAAAAGCAGCGAACAAGGCTAAACAGAAGAAGAAAAGCTAGCTAACCAAAAGCAAAAGGTCAAAAGAACTCCAACACCGTAACGATATGAAATGTGACCAAGCAAAATGAAAAGAAAAGATAACTCCGGGTACACGTCTATCTACAGGATCGACGCCTTTTCCAATGCCCCGGAATCTGATAACCGCTTCGAACGAAAAAAAGAAAAGCGAAAACAAAACGACATGGAATCATGAACCATACATAGCCAGAAAGGCACTGGGATCAGCTCTGAAAGATCCCCAGTTGCGAACCAGGCACTGTTCAAAACGTTCCAAGACAAGACATTGGCTCGTCTAGAAAGCAACTTTTCCTCCAACAAAAAGCCATAACTAAATAAGATATGCGTTGGAGCAAGACGACAAAACCACCCTTGAACAATAAAAAGAAAATTTTTAGACCCAATTTTTTTGTGCTCCCAAACGAATTCCAAGTGAAAAAAGAAAGAAAAAACCGAAATATCTCTGTTCTCTTCTGAAACCGACAAGAACAGCGGAAATCTGAAAAAGGAGTAATCGTATGCGGTCTTCTCAACTGTAGTCAGAGCATCAGGACCTTTTGTCCATTCAATGGCGGTCGACATCAAGTGAAATATGAAGCGAACACCACATTGAACTCCAAGTCTCCGAACCGTTCATTAGATCGTATGTAAAAGCGACAAAGGCCATGAAAAATCCGTCGAGTCGATAAGCGTTAGGGGGAATCATGAAAACAGAAAGAAACAAAGATAAAGGACGAAGCTGTCGAAGAAGGCAGTTTATAGAAGACCCTCCTCGCCAATGCCAGGGAGGCCAGCCCCAGCAACGTTGATGTTCTGTCCCTGCATGACACCTCCGCCAAAGTTGAGACTGCGACAGGCCATGAGCTGAAACTCGGGGTTGCATGGTGGTGAATGCGACTTGTGATATTTGAGGCCGTTCAAGTTCTTATACCGCTTGCCACACACTTCACACCGGTAGGGCTTCTCTTTCTCCATGCCGAGCGATCCGGGGTAAGGCGCCGATGTTTCAGGGTTAACAATCGAGAATGTACCGTCCGCGTTGTCGTGTAGCTGTTGGTTGTTGTGGCCATGCTGGAATGAGTTAGTATCGGGGATATTAATAGCTCTTGTGGTGTTGAATATACTTACAGCTTTGTGGTATTTGAGGCCGTTCTGGTTCTTATATGCCTTTTCGCAGCCAATGACGGGGCATCGGAATGGCTTCGGCTCCTCGTTCGGAAGAAGAGCAGTGGTGTCCGGCACGCCAGCTAGCAACTGTTGCTCCCGGATTCGGCGCGCAATGTCACTGTTAGGACCGTACTGTGCTCCGCTGAGTTTGAAGTGCGCGTTAGGAGAGTTAAAACCGCCACTGGGGCTGAACAACCGCTTCGCTGGTTCATCGATACAGAGGTCGACCATGTCATTGCTGCTTCCAAATCGCGAGAACTGCGACTGACCCTGGCCCTGGCTGTTGGTGCCGCCACCATGCATGGTCAAATCGCCAAATCCACCAACTACACTCTCATCGATCTCGGCCGGTGTGCCCGGGGCAGATGAATCGGGAGTGCTTCGAAATTGTGCATTCTGCAAAGGGTTCGCCATCAGAGTTGGCGTGTTGACAGAAGATACTGTGGGGTTATTTTGCAGCGATAGAGGACGCGCGGAAGAAACCGGGGTACCCGGTTGGGAGCCCTTGAAACCTTGGTTGCCCGGAAGCATAGACAGGTTGAGCTGCGGTCTGTTGGAATCCCCAAATCCACTCTGGTTACCATTCTGTGGTGGAGGCGAAAATAGATTCGACGGCGAATCGCTATCGCCCATAGGTTCATCCAGCTCCATGTCGTCGATGGTGTCCAGGTCGGGGTGATGGTGGGATGGTTGAGTATGGCTCAACTTGCGCTGCATATCCATAATTTTGTCAGGCTGCAGACCACGACTCTGGCCATTGTTCTGCTGGTTTTGCTGATGAGCAAGTGCGGCGGCCGCCAACGCAGCCCGGCTTTCACCTTGACTAGGCCGGTGGCTCTGGTGTGGCGATTTCGTGGCATGAGCTTCTTCGTAATGTTGCAATAAATCATGGAGTGTCGGAAGAGTCACGCCGCAGCATGCGAAATCACGCATGAAATTAGCCTCCAATTTCGGCAGGTAGGAAGAAGAGTGAAAAGAAGGCGATTGGAACCCCGTAAAGGGAGAAGTGCCGGTCATAAGAATGCTGTAGTGCTCGTTAGCGGCATTTCTCTTCCGGAGCTCCTGGATGCGGCCCGCAACCCCACTAGGAATAAAAAGCCAGTGGTACTCACTCATCACGAATCCAGCTACCAACAGACACTCCACCCCAACTCATACCACCTACTAAACTTCCAGCCAGCGACTCCCGACGTTGCTTGTCGCGGTTAGACCCGGTAACAGAGATTGGCTTGGTTCCATTTCCCCATTGAGCCGCTGCGGTGTTGAAAGAATCTTTGCGAGGTTGCGGGGCTTTGAAGACGCTGAGACCAACACCGCTAGAATGCGATATGCTGCCCGTGCGCTCACCGTTATTCGCTTTCTGCAGAGCGGAAGTCAAGTTCGACGCCTGCTGCCCGGGCGGGGAGACGGAGGTCTGACGAGTGGCAATGTCAATAGGTGCGGCCGGTCCGGTCATGGTGTTGTTGTTGTTGTTGTTGTTCGACGTAGGAGGCGAAAGAAACAGGGGAAAATCTTGGTCTGCGTCAAAGTGCGACGACGACGAGGGAATCTGAGAGTCAAAGTATGATCGATGGTTTGCGGAATCAACGGGTTTTCGAGACCAAAAGGGATCCAAGTAGTCCTTTTCCCTATCCGGTCTGTGGGAAGATGGAACTCCAAAACCGAGGGGAGTGGTGACGGGAGTCGAGTCTCTAGTCGAAGCACGATCTTGGTCACCGACGGATGGAGAGTGTTGAAGGGGAGGAGGGCTTTGCGATCCTGAGGACCCGAGCATCAGAATAATAAAAAAGAGGTGAAATCAAGTCAAAAAGTAGTGTGTCGAATTTCCCTCGACGATGGTTTAAACGGAGTCCACCTTCGGGTGTAGTCCCGCTTGGGCTGCGGAAAGCGTGACGGATTCGGGAAAAGTGGCGGAACACACGAACCCGATAGTGGTATGTGAATCAAGAATGTATAGAAACAGAATGAAGAGAGAGAGGGAGAGAGAGAGAGAGAGAGAGAGAGGGAGATATAAAAGATAAGAAGTGGTGAGAGGGAGAGATGAGATAGAGATGATCGAAGAAGCTCTCTTGGAGATCGATAGAAGTAAAATAATATACCAAGAAGTGACCAGGATTGGTTTCGAAAGGCGTCGCGATCCCAGAATATTACCCGTATTATTACCGTACTGCCGATGGAGGCAACAGAGCCGGTTCCGTACGTTACGTTACCATTGTTTCATATTGAACCTGAATGCATCCTAAGCTCATTACTATCGCAGGCTACTACTACTTTGCACACCGTATAATCTATTATCGTGAGCTTATTACGGAGTACTCTACAGAGTATACACATGAAGTCTAATGTCGATGGCAAGGTAAAGGCAGCAGCAGTCAATGATGCGGTTCCAGCATATAAACTGTATCGTACTAGCGGTATTGTACCGTCATTGACCATTACAAACTAGTCTGTAAAACCGTAATGACCTGCAGACAGGTCACTGACAACGCAGTGAATATCAAAGGATCTTCCTGACTACTTTCCATAGTGAATCCTATCTAAACTTGTTTCTATTCCTCCTGATAGTGAAAGTACTCACTTCGTACAATAGAAGGGAATGGCAATGGCCACTTGGGAAGACACCAATGCCGGGCATCCCGCAGAGGGGCTGATACATAACTGCTGGCGCATTGCTTTCGAGTCAATCGCATCCATGGTTCACCAGACACTAGTCTCCATATGGTCGCCGAGTCCGTCTCGAGTCTGTCGGACTAGGGAAAGACTGTCGCTCTACGGAGTACATCCATGGTTGTTCTATGGATTCATCTTAAAATATAGAGCCGGATTTACCCCACAGGCCAGCCTTGCACTTTCAATCCCCGACGATGAGCATAGCGAGTACGTACTCTGCATCGTTGACCGTTTTTTGATCTTCAGGGACTCCGGATTCACATAACGATACTGCGGTGTTTCCAGGTATACTGAGTACAAATCGATAAGCACTTATCACTGCATATACAGCTAGTGTCCAGCACTGACCATATGTACTTCCATAGCAATGACATCAGGTGGTCAGGCCTTAACACGTGGTTTAGTTTTTTTAAATTCAATTAATATTAACTGCGCTGTATAGACAAAAAGTATGTCTCCTCAGTACAGAGTATACAAACATCTGAGCGGTCTAAGCACTCCGTGTGCAACCAACCGTCCACCGCTACTGACTCCATATTGCCTAATTCGTCATGATGCGACTCCAACGACAATCCCCCTCTTTCTCATCCTGCCCCATCTTCTAGTATCCCCTTTTTTACCTTTTTTACGTGTTCACTCGTACGAGATTCGCCGAAACCAAGCGCCTGATTTTGTGATCACCGATCTTCTTGTCTTGGGGAGAAATAAAGTATGTTAGCCTCACCTGCAAGCGAGTGTAGCGATTTTAGCGCGGGCGCTAGAAACATGGCAGAAGCATCGCTTCTTTTCCGCAGGAGTTCACCGCCGAACGTGGCTCGGCAGACGGAATACAACGAGTGTCAACAATGGTACCCAATGGACAGCAGAAGACAAGAATATTGTTCAATAGTGTTGATAATGGTCAAGGGGTTCTTTCACCGCCATGATTCTGTTACTTCGTACAGTTCAAAATGCAATTCTTGGGAAATGCTGAGTTACTGGAAACGGCATAGCATTGGTAAATCGTTACATTGGTCTCTTGGCACATTACCCCAACTATGAAAGCGACGGAAATGTGCTGGTTGTAGGACTACCCTAGATCGTACTGCTCCCAGGGCTAGTAGTTACTGAGGGTTTCAGCAACACTTGATAGTGTTGAATATCTTACAACGTACAGCAATTGCGAGGAATAGTGGTCTAGTACTCCGTACCGAACTTGGATTATTTCCAACTGAAGTCGTTCATATCGCTAGCGCGGAATTGCGAGATCATCCTTCTTACATTCAAATATGGCACTTGCATATTGCTGCATATGGTGCCATGGTGAACACCAGAGAACTTTCAAGACTCTATTCCACTCGGGGCATCTAAGGCAACTTTACTCCGGAGAAGTGCCGTGGAAATGCCACAAACCAAGACCCAAAGACCACGATGTTTTGTGGCCTTCCCGGCGTCACCCCGAGTTACTATGTTCTGTTCCACCTAAATGATTGACTTATGACAAGCAATGCGGGTCATGCTCTTAATTTAGCTATACGTCTAGATGATATTCCTGGTATTGCTACATACACATACAGTAAACGTACTCTCCACTCTTAACATGCCACATGTACATTTGTAGAGTACGCGAGGCACTGCTTGTGAGCATGCGAGGCGAGACAAGCCTGTACCGAGCGTTCTGTATGCCTTAGAAATGGGCAGCTCTCGACCATAGCATCATCCATTGGTATACGAGGATGTCGACTCCCGGAGTATGCAGCCTCATGTAGCGGCTTACTATGCATGGATCCCGAAGCAGCGTACTTTGTATACTGCAAGCTACAGGCCACTGCCTGCCCTCCATTTCAAGGTACGTGCATATGCTATATACGGGGTACATGTCCAATCATGTCGCCCGAGATACCGGAATTTAAACCTTCTACACGATGCTTACAGTAGTTCTGGCAGCCAAGGTACCTCATTTATCAATCTCCCAGATGCAGGATTCATACACGGGAGATTCTAGGCTTACTCTGCATGTACTCTGTATACCATATCAATGCTCCATGCATCTTCCAGTAATCTATCGCGTACGCCGTATGTACTCCGAGTAACTATACACAGAGGGATACCGTACTTACTGACAGTACTTCGTACCGTACCGGTGGCTTCTAGAAAAGTGAAAAAGGTTCATTTTAGGTGGATTCACTGCCCCACTCTTACCCCTCCTCGACTTCTCGACCCGTCCGCCTGGGATATCCAGCCAATGATACCTGACGTATTCTTACGTTACAGTCAAATACGCCGCTTGTACAGCCCATACCGATTACCGCGTATGCCGCTACATGCCACTAACGATCCGGCTGAAGTAATCATGACCTCGTTTCCCACCGCCACAAGTTCATCCCGCCTTGCGCCACAGTTAGCTCTTTCTCCATGTTGCAAACACTGCAAACGCAATCTGATCAGCTGCAGTGGGATTTTTTTTTTTTTTTTTTCGCCATCTCGGTTTTCACGCAGAAATCGGTGTGTGATGAGCCATTGCGGTTGAAGCACTAAAGGAACGGGATTTGAAATTAGTTGCTCAGCTGAAGTTCAATACGGGGCCCTCGTTTACATTTCCCCAGACAATCAACGCCCTGCCGCTAGGATCAATATTCGTTACCGGGGATAACCATCAGCGTCATGGCGGACTCCGCACCTGCGCCGACACAGCCGGAAGTAAACAACAATGCTTCCAATCTAGAGGCCACCGCTAAACACGGCCCATCCGATGATGCAGTTGCTTCTGATGGTGCTGAAGGACCACCTTCGAAAAAGGCGAGGTTGGAGAATGATTCGGCACAGCCCGACGACCGCGAGCTTGGTCGGAGAAGAGGCATTGCCCCTGTGAAACCTGAGTATGTTCTGTGCCCGTCGCTTTTGTGAATGGCTGTAAATTAGCCACTCGTTATTCAGCATGAGAGATTAACTTGTGATTTTACGCTAGGTTCGTCGTCCAAACAACCGGAAGAGGTACCCATGCCGCCCAAGTCGCCGAACCGAGCCCTGACGACAACGCCGAAGCCGCGCATCACGATGATCGCGACACTGACAATAAAGATAAGAAAAAGAAAGCTACCGGTCAGAACACTCACCGCAGCTTCGGGAGATCGACGGATGCAAAGGGCCTTTGCCCGACCCGAATTTTCAACCCCGAATTCTCGCCGCAAGAATGCAAGTTCGCCGACAAGTGCCGATTCGAGCATAACCTGCGAACATACCTTGAAGAGCACAAGCGGGAGGATCTTGCGACCTTCAATGGCGTATGTCCGGTCTGGGATGCTAGGGGCAAATGTCACGCGGGGTGGAAATGTCGCTTTGTTGGTTCGCATATGACTGAGCGGGAGACCGCTGACGGACGGAAAGAGCTAGTTCTGGTCGAGGACGAGGAGCGCAAGCAAAAGGCGAAGCCGGTTGTTCCGCATGCGACAGAAGATGGCTTTGTCAATGTCATCTCGAATGATGATAAGGTTGCGCTGGCGAGAAAGAGGGTCAAGACACCTCGCGCTGATGCGTACTCGAAATGGCTCGACAAGACTGGTCGGGATTTGGAAAAGCAGCTCCATAAGCGTCATCAGGAGGAGAATGGAGAGCAAGGGGCGGATGAACAGGCCAAGGAAGCAAAGGAAGAGAACCGAGCGCAATACGCCGAGCAGCCTTTCTTGCCGTCGGAAAAGAGGCGTCTTTATTTCGGGCCAGAGACCCCAGCTCTGGCTCCCCTGACCACACAGGGCAACCTTCCCTTCCGGAGACTTTGTTCGGAACTTGGCGCGCAATTCACCTATTCAGAGATGGCCATGAGTATGCCGTTGATTCAAGGGTCGAAGTCAGAGTGGGCTTTGATGAGGGCCCATGAGTCCGAAATGCTCCCGCCAACCATTTCTCCCTCGCAAAGTGTCGTGCAGGGCTACGACCACTCCAAGGACGTCAAGCTCGGTGCCCAAATCGCAGCCAACAAGCCCTGGCAGGCACTGAAGGCTACCGAGGTCCTGGCCAAATACACACCCAACTTGCGTGTCATTGACTTGAACTGCGGTTGTCCTATAGATCTTGTCTACCGCGAAGGCGCTGGCTCTGCCTTGCTTGACCACCCGTCGAAACTGGAGAAGATCCTGCGAGGCATGAACGCAGTTTCTGAGCAAATTCCTATTACTGTCAAGATCCGCACTGGAACCCGAGACAACGCTCCTAATGCACAGAAGCTTGTCGAGCGCCTCGTGCTGGGAGGTTACGAATCCAGCTTGCTCGACGTTGGACCTCCCGGTATCGCAGCCGTGACTCTTCACGGACGAAGCAGACAGCAGCGGTACACCAGACTAGCTGACTGGAGCTATATCGCCGAGTGCTCTGCTCTCATCAAGCGCCTGAATGAGAAGACAGACGAAGTCACCGACACTATCCGCGAACCAGATGCGCGGACGCAACCCAACGGTGGCAAAGTGTATTTCCTCGGAAACGGCGATTGCTACTCCCACTTCGACTACGACGACCACATCAACAACGCCGGAGTTGACTCCGTCATGGTTGGTCGCGGAGCACTCGTCAAGCCCTGGCTCTTTGAAGAGATTCAGTCCGGCCAGTATCTCGACAAGTCTGCATCCGAACGTTTATCGTATGTGGAGAAGTTTGCGAAGTACGGTCTTGAGGCTTGGGGATCTGATGAGTATGGTATTGGCATCACTCGCCGTTTCTTGCTTGAGTGGCTGAGCTTTACGTACCGTTATGTGCCCATCGGGTTGCTTGAGTATCTCCCTCCGAATATCCAGGACAGACCCCCGGTCTGGAGAGGTAGAAATGATCTGGAAACTCTTATGGGCAGTGACCATTACATGGACTGGATCAAGATCACGTATGTTTCATTTCTCCAATGCCTAATTGATAACAATATTCTAACGAACACAATAGGGAAATGTTCCTCGGTCCAGCTCACAAGGACTTCAAGTTCGAGCCCAAGCACAAGTCCAACGCCTATGAGGTGGAGGGTTAAAGTGCTAGCAACTAAATGCCACACGAATGAATGCACATATACCATAAATAGTATGAAGATCAAGCACAGCCCTGCACTGTAAATTCCAGTAATTTCTTGGACTCGGTATCACGTGAATTCATACTTGGTAGATGAAGCGAGCGGGTAGCTCAGGGATCGGGGAATCGGGGAGTCGATTATCCGGACTGCACGAGGCTATAGGCGAGGAACTTGAATTACGCGAAAAAGGGTGATATTGATAGGCTATATCCACCGTGATAATAGAATGAGTGCTTAGCCATCTAAAGCGTACGGCTACAGTGTCCTATATGAGGAGACTGTCAGCTCCGCTAATCGGGCCGACTATTAATCCATCTTGACTTTCATCAGTAGACGCTGCTATGTCACATGACTTGGCAAGCTTGATGACGTCTTCCGCGTAGCAGAGACCACCTCAGCCCCGTCCACGCACAACGCCTCCTCAGCTCCCCGCGCGTGTTTTTCCTTGATTCATTCCAAGGAATTCTTGCTTTAATTGCAGGCTTCTCACTGTCGAACTTCTTTTTGTTATATCCCCCAGTGTTTCTGTGTCGTCTCAGTCACGTTCATTGGAATCTCCCCGCAACCGAGTTCAGGCTCCAACGTTCATTTCAAGCTCAGTTAATCGAACCAATTCTTCAAGATTATCGGAATTTCGCTGTTGAGCACGATGACTCTCTACTACAGTCTCGTGAGTATCTCTCTGTGATGAGCTTGCTACATGATAGTTGTCGTGCCGCTGGTCGAGCTTGCTGCAGCCTCCACGAGGTCCTTTGTAGCGGACAGATCCATGGCTCTCTTCTGTTATCAATCTCTGTATACTAACCATGGCTATCTGAATAACATAGGTCTTCTGCCTCCTGGTCTTTGAGATGGCCGTCTTCATGGGCCTGATCATCCCTCTTCCCTTCACCATCAAGCGGAAGTTGTTTACCTTCATCTCGGAAAGCCCGGTGGTAGCGAAATTACAATATGGATTAAAGGTGAGCGGGCTTCGACATCGAACTGGTATTCTGCTGGAAACTAATAATCAATGCTATAGATAACGTTCATTTTCATCCTAATCCTCTTCATTGACAGCGTCAATCGTGTGTACCGCGTGCAGCTCGAATTGTCGTCTTTCAGCAAAGAGGGTGGTGCTATGGGGTTAGTTTCTTCCACCCCCCCCCTTCATTTGCGACGCTTTTCCTCAATAGGACGATTGACTGACAATTCATTTCTTGCAACAGAGCCGCCGCTCTCGGAACGGACCGTATGGAAGTTCAGGCCCGCAAGTTCTACTCCCAGCGTAACATGTACCTCTGCGGCTTCACTCTTTTCCTCTCCCTGATCCTCAACCGCACCTACACCATGATCCTCGAACTCCTCCGCCTCGAGGACAAGGTTAAGCACCTTCAGGGCGACAAGCAGGCTGGCGGCAAGGACTCCGCTCGTCTTGCTAGCGCCGGTGACCTTGGCGAGATTGGCCGTCTTAAGGAGGAGATCGCTACCAAGGACCGTGACATTGAGACCCTGAAGAAACAGGCTGATGGATTGGCTCGTGAGTACCACAACTTGGGCGACAAGGTCTCCGACAAGCCCGAGGGACCTAAGAAGGACCTGTAAATGTCAGCGGGTCACTGTTGAAAACTTGATCATAGGCTGTGCTATGGAATTGACGATGTGACGGTTGGTATTTCAAAATGCTTCGAACGATGTCTTTGTGCAGTTAGCACTATGGTGAATATCTGTACAATGGATCTTCGGCTTTTCGGGCAGGGAATTGACGGATGGGTGTTTCAAGGGATTACATTTGCCAAGGTGTACGAACACGAATACTTCACTTGACATATGGCATTTTTGTGATCTTTATTTCAATATGAAAATGTATTTATCCTATTTGTATTCATTTCACTTGAACTTGACTTCTACGCCAAACATGCAAAGCAATTCATCATTCGTAAACATAATCAAACAAGAAACGTCCAGAAACTAGGGAACACAAGCTCCTCCTCAAAGATCCGGCGCACCTGAGCAAGAACAAACCGCTCAACTTTACCAACATTCTTCAAAACCTGTTTCCCGTCCTCCTTGCGGCCGATTTCACTCTCTACCCGAATCTCCTGAAGCAAGCCACCCTGCCGTTTCTGCGCAGAGGATGTAATATTGTGAGCATCCAGGCCTAGACCGGCGCTATTATTAGCATTGCTAGCAGCAGGGTTACTGTTGTCCCCTTGTTTCTGCTGTTCCTCAGACCCAAGCAACGCATCCGCATCCTCAGCAGACAAGAAACAAAAATGCACGCGTTTGCGAATATACGCGATCACCGCAACGCCGTCGAACGTTATGCCCGTTACGTTAAGTTTCAGCGGAAGCCCCACGAAGCTGGGCATCGGGTAGTCGAGGAGGATTTCGGCGGTTAGGGATAGGCGAATGTCGCCTGCGTATTTGGCGTGGCAGAGGACTTGGAAGTCTTCGGGTTTCCGCTCGCGCATGCGTGGGGGTGGGCGGAAGGGGATTTGAGGTGGAGGCGGGGGTTGATTATGCGGGTGGGTTGCGGAGGATGGAGGGTCGCCTAGGTGAGGGCTTGTACCGGGGCTGGGGATAATAGGGTCGTCTGGTCCGTTGTTGGGGTTATCTTTGTTTGCGGTGGTGGGGTGGGGGGCTGTTGATGGTTGGGAGGCGGAGTCGACATCGACTTCCAGTTGTTGCTTCTGCTGCTGTTGACGCTGTTGTTGTTGCTGGAGGAGATGGTGTTGCTGCATTGCTGCGTGAGGGTATGCCAGTACAGACGGTTTCTCCAGTCGCATTCTGCTCGCTGGTCCGATACCAGAGTCTGACCAGCCATTGGCAAATGGCGAACCGCCTGCAACCGCAGCTAGAGGAGTTTGTGTCCCCGACAACGCACCGAGTGACATGAGATGATAGCCCAACGTCGACGTCCCGACAGGTAAGCCCGGTGTGCCCGCGGCGCGAGGCAGGAAATGCGAATTGAGGTGCTCAATAGGCGACCGCAAAGCCGACGGGTAATCATAATGATGCCCCGGCTCATCAAACGGATCCCGCAATTGCTGGTTATTCATCGCCATCCCGTCATGGAACGAAGGAGGCCCCGTCCCGGGCCATTGACTATCGTCATCGTGGGTGGTGTTGCTGCCATGCTCCGACACTAATTCTTCCGATACCTCTGATATCTCATCATCGTCGTCCTCCTCGTAAAAGTCCGTAAACGGTTCACAGAAATCTTTTATCTCGAGGTCTGGAGGGATCGTCCCGAAATCGAAGGAATGGACGTGTACTGAACGGATGAAGCGTGGGAGGGCCACCTGCTGGAATTTGTCGTGGATAAAGGAGCGGATGCGCTCGGCCAGAGCCTCTCCGTCCGGTCCAGAGGTGGCTGTCTCCCAGTTGACGTCGATGGACATTACATGTGTCGCGGGTTCGTCGACGAGCGGAAATGTTGACCGTGATAGGTTGGGATTGATGATCTACCTAATTATGTATCACGTGGTGTAAGTCACGTGCCAGTGATAATGTGACGTCATTTTATGGTATCTACCCCGTGCCTATCTGCTACACTGCCAATTGCGACTTCTCAGAGAGAGCCCTTATCAACTACAGGTGGTTTGATGCCAAGGTGAGTGTCACGTTAAACCATCGATTTCACTTCTCAATATTTGCCAAGTAAGAAATCGAGTACTAATCCCACTACTTAGAACATCACCCCCCGCTACGAGTTCGGCTACGGCCTGTCATACACCACCTTCACCTACGGTAACGTCGAAATCAAGAATACGAGGCTACGAGGATCTCTGGCACGAGGTCATTCAGGTTACGACCACCGTCCGCAACACGGGCACGCCATCGGACCTTTCTTAACCATTATCACCCATTGCAACTCGACACAGATATGATCCGGGTTATCTGTGGCCTTGACCCAGATGTGGAACTGATGCGGGCTGTTACCTGGCAGAGTCGTTGGCGAGACACACGGCGGCCACAGTATCTGTCCAAGCAGCAGAGGGACCAGATAGAGGATCATCCAGACCTGGAAGGGGCCTGCCGCAATCTGCACAATGCTCACGCCTGTTACAAAGAGTCCCAGCAACTGAGCTTACTGGATTGTATCCACCAACAACAGAAAGAATTGAAGAACACCTGACAACGGCTGTTGAGGGCCTTATGGCATCAAGTCTGAGAGAACTTTGATGAAGAGCAAGCATTTCTGGATACTGAGGCGCAGTTGTCTAATACCACAGTAAAGGATGAAAGCAAGGACAAAGAATCATCTTCAGTTACTTCTTCAGCGACTTCTCTTGTACCCAACTTCCAATTCGGTAGAGGATGAATGGAAACGGCGTGATGACGCAGTGGACGCTGTTGTGCAGTATTGTGATGTCCTAGAAGGTGGCCCACTTTGTGGCCGGCCCAAGCAGATCAAGACGATATCCATCCCATCAACAGACCCTGAGCCTGACCTTGACGGCTCGTCCAATGTTAGAGACTGCCTTGACAAAAACATGGAGACCACTCTCTGTCCACGTGATGAGCTCTTTTGTACAACACAGAAGCATCACGGATGTTTCGAAGCCACGGGCTTGTTTCCAGTGCTTTGCTAATGAGAAACTGCCCGATCAAACCTGTTGTAGGATGTTTTATGACACTGGCTGCATGACACGGCACATTGACACTTGTCACCTGCATGAAGACTCTCTCAAGTGCAATTATTGCGAAGTGTTTCTCTTGCATAAGATGGAATTTCAGCGGCATGCATCTGACATTCATTGAGTAGAGATCCACTGGCGTGAGATTTCATGAGCTGCCTGATTAATGGGCTACATATCATTTTTGGCAATAACAATACAATATTGTCCTCTAAAGCCTTTGTGTCTACCATTGAAGGTTTCTTACGCGGTTTTTGCTTAAAGGCTCATTTCTCGATGTATCAAGTAGTATCAAGCACCTTTTGGGATCACATTCTGCTTTGTGGTAAATGAGCCGACTGATAAGTGTCCCCTATTGTGTATGTCTGTTGCTACCTAATGTCATCTGTTGTATCCTACTTTCCTATTCGTGCATTATATCTCAAACCAGTCCACTCATCAATGACCAAGATTCGAAGGCTGGAGATAGTCACTTTCCTAAAGCTAGGCCATCGTCTCTCTACAACTTAGGCCGTCATATGCCCAAGCAGTAGACCTCGTTAGTCCGGAGTAATCAACTCCTGAATTCCCCTCTGAGTTACGATTTGAGACCACCGTTTCAAGAATTACGATTGACTTTATTGTCGGACCGTTGACGCTATCAACAAATTCAAAGCAAGCAGGATACCGGGAATCAGAATAAGCTGCTAAGGGACATCACGGCTCGAGAACAACATGTGAAATGACGCCGATAATTGGAACAATATGAAAATATTGTTCTGGAAACCTTGTCTGGGCACAAGATTGTCTAGCTGTACGAATACAAGGAAGTGCTGGGAGGAGCGAAGCAGGTCACCGAGCTGGAGGATGTATCAGCTAAACAAGGTAGTGGGAGCGATGATCGGCCACTTAGTGTAGAAAGCTATCCTACTTGACAAAGCCAAAATATTAATCACATGATCCTGCAAAGGCCAATCCTAAAGTTTTCTCTGCTGATGGTTGCGCAATAGCTTGACAACACCATCATGTTCCATTCTCAGCGGCCCATGATAGTGGCGTCCGACCAGAGGCTGTATCTTTCAAGTCAGCATTGACCTTGCCTGTCTCAAGCAGCAGCTTGACAATGCCATCATGTCCGAGATCATAACCATCTGGGATCTGCTGCAATTGCGGTCTCCCCGCCGGTATGGTCCAATCACCCTAGGGCCATGCTAACAGTAAATGATGTTTTGAGATGCCGTGATGCATTGCAAATCGGATGGTTCTCCGGTGTTCTCGTCGCGGCCATCCTTGTACCCTTTGTCGCCCCTCGGCCAAGCCTCGTCGTTCGCGACCATATTTCGAGCAAGATGGATGCGAAGCTACAGTAGAAGTGATTAAGCCATACTCGCGATAATACCTTTGATTCTGCAAGACCTAGTACAAGAATTGTAAATTTCGTCTAAAATATATTCAGTCCATCCCGCGGGCTTCCAGCTGTAATATGAGATGTGCTCACGAAAAATAGTCAATGATATCGAATGTATCAGCATCAACAGTAGTAAAAAGTATACCATCCCCCAGCATCCCCTCAATAGCAGACTCAACCTCTGCAAAGGAAGCTCTAAGCTGTTTTTAATGGCGTCAACATGCACTCCATCCTGGGTTGGTGGCTCGAGCAGTAGGTCAAATATCATGTGCTGGGTTCGATCCAAGACTCTCCTTGGAAATTCTCCTCTACCCTCAACATAAACCAGTTTGTTGTATGTCAGAGAGATATCATAAGAAGCTGCCACTGCAGAAACCTCCTCCACAAGATCAGCTGACCACAGCTCCAACAGAATACTATCCTTTGCAATTGTGTCGGGGCCGAATCGGAGAAATATCTGTCTCAGGGAGGTTTTTGACTGCCCTGACTTCTGGGTAATGATGAAGTGTTCCAGAAATTTGGCTTTGTGGTTGCTGAAATCTTCAGGGTCTACTGACCCCCCGACACTTCTTGAGAATTGCTCATGTTTGGTGAAGTCAATGGTGAGTCGCTGAAGACAAGGAGTTACTAGTTTAGATGATGCATCAAAAGGTGCTGTATTAAAGAAAGAGGATGCATGGAGATGCAGTTCAGATAGTTTCTGAAATGCACTCAAGTTTGGTAGTCCCTTTCCAGGGATAGGCGGGAGTTCAATTCTTTCAAGGGAATCACAGTGCAGATTCAGTAGGTTCTCAATCACAGGAGCGGGGTAGCTTTCAAGAAGAAATACAAACCTCATGCCGAGGACGGCGTCTTATATTATTATGAGAAGGCAACGTGGACCAGGACCTCGGAAGTTGTCGAGCGAAAAGAAACGGAATGCTGGTGGCTAAACAGCCCGAAGGCCTACATGTCTGTCTTTGGATTGATGCCAGACGAACATATTGCCAAATTCCACCCGGCTTGCGGAGAGGACAATAATAACCTTTCTTGCGAGGCCATGCTTCACCACTTCCGTATTCAGCAGGCACCGACGACTCCACTCACTCGCCGATCTATGGGTGAACTCGAAGCACGAGCAGCCGCAAAATCAAAACAACATGAGGACCAGGAACTCAAATGCAAGCAGAAAAAAGACGAATTGTGAACAGAGCAGGTAGCTCGGGATGGATTATGGTTGTGTTGATTTATGATAATGTACTTTGTATCTTCCTTCATGTCGTTTATTCAGCGTGTTTCCTGTTAACCAAGTATGAATTTGCATTCTACTAGAACGGACAATATGCAGTTGATTGTATTTATATTCTACTTCTTTTATAAATAGCGATGTTTCATAACTATGGGAACCGATTACTTTCCAAATAGTTGAATTTAGTCATTTTCACGAGCTCGGCTGCCGAACCGGAGACTCAAGGGAAGCCCATCAAAATAATGTCGTTTTAGGCTCCATGCCCCTCCTGGTGTTGCTAGATACAAAAACTTGTCCTTTTTACAAGTGGTCAACACCATTTTCAAAATGACTGTAAAAGAAGGTCAAATCTTACATTCAGAAGTTCTTTAGCTGATTTTGTTTTCGACTCTACTATGAACCCAAAAGCTCAACTTGATAGCACAATATCTGCTGAGTGACTCCTGAAATCAACGCGGTTGTATCACCTAGACAGATCACAATGAAACCAACAGCTGCTACATCTAACTTCCAGTCACTCAGCATGTTGCTGCTTGTGACGGTCTCGAGCAATAGGAATCTATTGGTGTGACGGTTCGACGCCTCAACGCCAGCTTGATGCCTCAGTGGCTGGTATCGACAAACGCCACCACTCAAGCAAACAAAGAAAGCACTTAGCGCGGCCACACAACTCATGGATAAAAACCCTTTTCTTCCTGTAGATAGATTCCTCTTCTCTTTTCTTCCCAGATTCGATATTCTCATCGATGGCTACAATAGTCTAGATAGGAATTCAATTCATTAGTATCTGCTATTCCGAGCCCGTGACAAGTTCCCTCATATACTAAAGGGCATCTAACGACAATGACCCAGCCGAACAGACCGGCCCAGACGCTTTAGCGGCTTCTCACAAAACGTACAGAAAACAATCAGATCATTCTGAAATTCAGAGCAGCAGCCGAAGGCGAAGGAGCAGCCTTGCAGCGTGACACAATAATTGAGTGACTGTTGTTTGAATATGCTGATGACAGCAATTCTCTGCCTGATCTGTATAAGCACAATAGCAACATTGCTAGAATGAGGTGTATTGGAATACCCGGACAACGCTTCAATTGCCGATCCTGATTCCTGGACATCCATGGCGATAAGTGACGGCCCAGGAAGCAATAACGCGCGGTAACATGTACTCTGTGAGCTCTGTGTTGGGACAGAGGATACTGACCCTATCCATCATAGGCCAAAACGCGACCATACAATTTAGCTTGACCCAGTCAAACTTGATCTAGCCGCACAAATTTCTTCCCCAAGGGAAAGCCTGTACAGAGCTTTACAGAAAAGTGTTCCTACAGCGAGAAAGTACAGTGAGCAGTTCTAGCCATGCGATGTCGATTTGTTCGTCACAGCCTTCAATCGCTGTTTATCATGGATCCCATCACGGTGACACGTATTCTGACCTTACTTGACAATGACGATCATCAGGGCTAGTGCCGCTATAGCGAATAAGGTTATCAAAAAGCTCGATAGTATCCTCACTATTATACTTTATGGTTTATGAAGCCACGCTACAATTCTACACCAACCCGTCTACGTGTAAGCCCTGCTCGTCATTACATATAATAGTGGAAACCCTATACTCACCTTTTCTTCCCCCAGGATTGCACTACGGTATTTCTGTTTTACCATCAAATTCGTGCGTCTCTTACCCGACGTTCTTTCATAGCTGCATCCATCACTATCACAGCCAGTGGGATTCTGACGAAGAATATGTGCCAATTCCTGCCATCTAGAAGCAGACCCGCCTGTTTGACATCCTCACAAGATTAAGAAACAAAAGGGTCCGTTACCGTGGTTCTTGTGCCATTATCATCAGCCACCGGACAAAACCCCTATGCCCTACTATCGCCTCCGTTCTGGGTTTGCTATCATCTCCAAAGTTCCCTGAGTCTAACAGTTGATGCATATTTGAAGATTCTCCCGATGCTTCTCGGAATCGAGGTTAAACCCACCTCAGTTCGCTCGGAGGAAGGCCTCCTGCAGCTACACGTCTACTTTTACGCCAATTTCCAAAAGTATGCGGAGCTTGACCATATGCCGGAAGTGCATCTGGAATTCCGATGATCGGACTTCTAGTACATGGGGCAAAAGTTGTCGTGAGAACCTCGCCCATCTTGACTTCCAAGTCCGTACAAGACAATACAAGATAGGTGTTGTCACACCTACTAAATTGGATTAATCTAGGCGACCAATCGCAGCGACTGATTCCAGAGCCCCATCTCACAATGCCATTGACTAATTGCTAAGCAAGGGAGTCAACTCTACCGACCATAGTCATATGGCTCCGGATCAGATGGGTGGAGAATTTATTCGCTTTGGAGAATTTATTCGCTTTGGACCATCTCAAGGATGACTGGAAGGCAACATGCCATTGGATTTACTCTGAAATGCTGAAAGACTCCATTGCAGTGAAGCTATGTGCACTTCAAGAAAATGCATGGTCTCGTGGTCAGATATCATCGTCAAAGTAGCCGGATATGCTACAAGGATGGAGATACAACGGATCATAAACTCGCACGAGTTTCTGGAATTTCGGAAGGGAATAGTCGATACTGTAATGTCCAAAGCACCCCTACTCTACCTTCACGACGAAAAAGGACCGCTCTCCGGCCAGGAGACTCCGGAAGCGGTGTTTTTCTCCGTGATCTACAATCCAATGGTTGGAAGTGGACTGGGCAGCCGGTGTCCATGATTAACATACCCGGGGAACCTTGACATTCGGGGGCCATTATTTAGTATCATGAAACCATGATCCCGAAGAGTCAATGCTCCAATCACTAGAGGAGAGCACGGATATGTTGGCGGTTAGCTGCAACAGACGACAAAGAGACATAAAAACCGGTTATAGAGAATGAGCGCTTATCCACGAGTTTGCTTTGGATGAAACACGGACCTGAAAGCGTTGATCAACCTAAAACCTTTGTGACAGCTGCATAGTGATAGAATGGGCATTGAGCCAACACGCAGTATGATGTCGCTACTCGCTTGCTAACCCCTGATCTACATCTCAGCAAGGCTACTAGCTAATGCAGCAGAAGAACAAAAGAATAAATAAGAATTTGTTTCAGAGTAGTCACACCACGCAATGTCAAAATTTAAAGTTTAGTATAGCAGGGACAAAGACAAAGAAACGGCCACGAGGCGGTAACAGCGTGCTCTGAAACCATGAGGCTAGCGGTGGCCACCACGAGAACTACACATAATAATAGGGTTTCTTTGTTCTCGGGCACGCGAGATTTTTTTTCATTTTTCTTTGAACCTTCGCTGGGTCTATATTCACCCCATGGAAACGTTAATTGAGGTACATATTTACCGGGAAACTTGCATCTGGGCTGCAGGGGTAGTGCATTAGTTAGCGTCGTGGCATAGCGTGGGTAAACAAAGAAACACGTTGTGATGGAAGCGTGGACTGTGCAGTAGTTGAAAGTTGATATTTTGGGAAATCCTGAGCGGCGTTTAGCTGGTAAGGATTTGAACTGACATCTTTGTTCTCTGAAGCTAAAACAGATCATCGGATCCTGTCAATCCTTCTTTCTAGAAAGTGGCTAGTTGGTATGCGGGTTTCTATTTCTGAGATAATAGGTATTTGATCTTCAACATTGTTCGTGTTCGCGTTCGTGTTCGGAAAATATGGCTATGGAAATGCTGGGAGGGGATGAATATCGCGATATCAAATCTCGTCTAGCATTGTTAAATACACAAACGCGATTCTACGCAACTCCTAGAGCATGGGGCGCAAAAGAAATAATTAGAAATATCAATCGATTGAATTGGAACGTAACACAAAGACACAGACTAGGGCATAGTAAAAGCATGCAACAATGATATAACATAACAAAAACAGCGCATATAGTGTTGAAATGACGCTTAAGAAACAATGGGAACAATGGCAATATAAGCTTCCTTAGACACCATATAGATACATCCTCGACAATCAAATCCCATGATATCAATATCGCAGTCCAAGTCGCAAAACCAGATGTAAGAATCGAGAAGTCATTTCGTGTGGGATCCTTGCACGTCGTGATCGACACGATATCCATAGTAGTTTAATTTTGTACACTGGATCACCCGCCAATTCTCCTCGGATCTATATATCCGTTAGTACACGAGTTGTCACTCTTCCGGAACATGTTAGAACTCACCCTGTACGCTCGTGTATGTTTAAAATACTTAACCCCCGTGCTTAGGGCAGTTGTAGCCCTCCCGGCGGCGGGGCTGTTGCCGAACGCCGGGGCATGTTGATGTGCCCCGGTGTGCGCAGTGAACCACGCCGACTTCCTGGATGGCGCAACCACAGTCGTATTTGATAACGTAGATCGAACACATTTTAATTCGTTTCGAAGAGGAATCGAAGAGGAAGGTTCGTTTTATTTTAAGAAAAAGAAAAAAGAATTTTTGAGAGTTTTGAAATGGATTGGTCGAGACGGCGATCCGCGCGAACAAATGATTTAGTCAGGGACGCCGGAAAAGGTGAAGCAACGGACTTGGGCGCTTTTCTTTGGATGAAAAAAGAGGCAGAGGAAAGACAGAGAGAGGAATTGATGATGATGGAGAGAAGATGAATGCAAGAGGGATCCGGAATGTTTATATAACTTTTGCCTCTGTGGTTGACTGACTGCGGTCAAAGAACTGTGCCGCAACGGCGCCGCTATACTGGGCAACAGCATCAATCACACTCCATGATGATGCATCTCCCACCCCTCCCAATTTCCTTTCTTTCTTTTTCGTTCGCTTCTCTCCGAAGACGCGGCGTAGTAGTTGGTGCCTGTCTGGTTCTACATCTCGCCTCGCCGTGTCCCCAACATAACCGGGGGGGCTACCAACAAAGGTTTACTTTTTCCGAGAAATAAAAAATAAAATAAAATGAAAACTCTACTGCACCTGATCTTTCCAACACCAAGCAGGTTTTGTGGATCACAATGGAAAAGCATGCGGCCAGGGATGTTAAGGGACCCCAAGTCGGACCAATAAGGGCGTATGTTTTATCCAAACCATTGACCTAAAACAGGCAACAGTGGCCGTTATAGCAAGGTATCAACAGCCTTGGTAAGTAAAGGGGGAGCTTTGACATCATGTTGGTGACATTCACGGCCCATCTATGTGCATGCAGGTGTAGTCACATTGGGCCAGTAAGGGAAACCAACAGCCGCGTTTATCAAATCAGTGATTGCTGTAAACCAACATTGTCCATCCTTCTCTGCGGGTGATGCCGCAGTCGAGAACCGCGCTCTCCGAATGTCACGCAACAGTAGGAAATGACCATTGGCAGTAGCGATTAGACCCTGTCCAGGGTCCTGGCCCCTATGATGCGTGCCATGCTGCCTTGACAGCATCTAGCCATCAATTTGATAACGTTTGTTATATCAACGCCGCAAGAACGTGCCAATCTCGTTCCTCGACATGGCAACTACCGGACAAAGCCGTGTAGTATGTGACGGATGAGCCATCACTTGCTGTGATGAAAGGTTGCATTGACTGCGCCTTTTTCATCCTTCTGTTGGTATTTGTCCCACATCAACATCCTCAGCGGACTCTTGGTGGTCAGCAAGATACGGGAAACGGGAGGATTCGGGACGGGAAGATCAATCCATTGCGCATGTTTACGCCTGAGTAAACTCTCTTGCTCTGTTCTCGCCCTTTGAAAATTGTCAAGGAATGAGCCTGACTCATGGCGCGGTTGGATATCTGCAAATCGAGTGAACTGCAGAGACGACAGACTTGTGGCGCAGAACGAGTCGACTCGCACCTATAATTCACAACGTTCGTTCACACTGGCAGCATGCATGAACGCCAAATCCACTGTAGGAATGAACTAAGGCAGTGACCACCTCCAGCGCCGCAAAACAAACCATCCTCCACCTATGAACTATCTGCAGCGACAACGACAAAACCAGCTGCAACTGAAAAGGCAGACTGCCAGGCACACTTCTTGCGGCAACTGTGCCAATCAAGATGCAATAAGAAAGTCAATTCTGGCGTCTGCAACTGGCACAGTCAGTCCGCGCCGGCGCTTTGAATCGAGTGCGACGGGATTGGCGCGGAGGGGCTGGAAATCGGGCGTAGGCGCCAAGTCAGCGACAATCGACTGGTTGCGCCGATATGCAGCTGAAGGACTTGCCGCTGCTAGTTTGCTTAGGCACAAGGCAGAAAACAGCTGGAATGGAGCTGGAGGTGGAGTAATAAGAGGAGATGAGGTTCCTGTCTTTCTGTTAGTGCTACGCTTTCTCGCAGGAAGGTCAGAGCACGTGACTGCCTCTGATTTATTGCTGGTACAAAGTACGATGAACTGCCAAGTATTCTTCTGGCAGTGCTCTGTGCCTGTCATACAGTCCTCCATAACTAACTACTACGGAGTACGACTAAGACATATCTTATCTCCCTATTTCCCCTCACATGATTTCCTCTGAAACCTGAGAATGTGCCAAGTCGCTGCCAAGTGGCCCAGACTAGATAGCGTCAGGTGACTGTGCATAGCTATCGATCTTAAAAACACTGACGGCTTCTTGGCTGTGGCTGATCAGGGTGCAGATACAGTTCTCATGATACAAGAACTGGTATGGAGTTCTGTACAGACAGACATGGAGGAAGACTACGGAGTACGTCAAGTAAACAGCACAGTAAACAGCACAGTTCACGTACTTCGGCAAACAGCCTACAGCCTACCGCACCCCACGGGTATACACAGTGTGCAGTGATTGTACAAGCAATGATGCGGATGATCGCCAGCCAAGACTTGCCTAGAAAGGGGGCATCCGGGGGGTCCACTGCTCGGTAACTCTTCTAAGGAAAAGAACCCCACGTATGTATTCATTTCACATTTCATACACGCTCACTAATACAGACTTCTGCTCAGTGAGGTGATCAGTCTTGGCCAGATCTCAAAGATATAAAGAGGGTCTCATTCCCAGGAGATTGTCTCATTCTATTCTTCATCATCAAGCATCTCTCTCTTCTCTCAGAACTACAAGTCCAAACCAAAACAAAACTCCTCTTTAAGTCTTACTCTCAAACACTCTATACAACTCTCAAAATGTACTCCAACACCCCTGGCGCCAACTTCCTCGTCCTCTCTCCCATCCAAACCGCCTCCCACGGGTCCCCCGCTCCTCGAGCCCGCTCCGACAGCTGCTCCTCTACCGACAGCGCCTCCTCCAACTTCCTCGTCCTCTCTCCTACCCAAGCAGGTCCTCACCACGCTGAGTACCGTGGCCGCTCGGACAGCTCTGCCTCCATGGACAGCACCGCCTCTGCTTCCAGATTCCTTGTTCTCTCGCCCACCCAGGCTGGTCCTCACCACGCCTCCATCTCTGGCTCTGAGAACCGTGTCCGCTCTTCGGCCGCGCTCTCGCCCTCTCCGCTGCCTGCTGGGTTCCTCTTCCTGGGCTACGATGCTCCCGTCCGGACTGCTTCGAGTGAATAAACTCGTTACTTTTTCCATTTTTCTCCTTTCTTGAAAGCTACCACCCGGTATGATCGCATCATCCGATGCAACAACAACATAACACACCACGACACGAACGACACGATACCCATCATCTCCAGATGAGTCCAGAGTCCATACAAAAACGGCTCGTCCGGGGAGGTTTCTTTACAACACAGCATGCACAGATGCACGGATGCACGGATGCACGGATGCACGGATAGACACGTACAGTTATCGCCAGGTTGGACAGTGGACAGTGGACAGTAGATAGTCTTGGTCTTGGTTTTTGTCTTGTACATACCATAGCATAGCCCCATGGGGCCTTCATCATATCAGCACGGAATGAACAAATTAAGCAGACCAAATCAGCAGAATTGCGCAATGATCATCGTAGCTGGCTGTAGCCAGCCAGCCACTTGTACGGAAAATTACTGTACTACAAAATCTAAAATAGTGAATACCCCCGCATCGGTGAGATCTTAGGAAGGTAATCCACCCAAGATCAACATTCGTAAGTTTTTTAAAGTAAAAAAAACTACATAATCCCATTACTAGCACAATTTCTCCCCCTCCCTCTCCATTGATAAGACAAAAGCAATTTACTTAGACACACCTACACCTACACCTACACCTACAGAAGGATTGCATGTACATAACAATGACCACCAATCCCTATTCCTCAGCCAAACATACACACATAATCCCACTCATGTCCGCCTCCATACAGAGCACAGAGTCCGGTCTGTACAGGTAAACCTCCGCCGTATTCCTGAAACCCGTATCGCCAGATCACCATCCTACATACCCTCCCTCCACCCTCCCAACCAATCACAGTCACAGACGATGATCACGTTGAGCAACTTGTGGGATCTGCTTGTTTTGGCTTTTTTTTTTTTTTTTTTTTCCACTTGGGCCCCTGTTGCCTGAATACTTCAAGCCAAGAGAGGTAAGGACGGCCAAGAGGATAGGCCAAGAGGATAGGCCAAGAGGATAGGCCAAGATAGAAAGGTAGGGATGTTATGCTTAAATAAGACAAAGTAAGACAAGGAAAAGTGCAAGTAATGTTATCTATTTCCGTGTTTATTTCCGACTCAAATACCCTGGACTCCGGTTACGCTCCCTGTACTCTGTACTATGACGCAAGATCTACAGACAAGTGTTTATGTACTTGTACCTCGGCCTCAGGGTCCCCCTCAGTACTTGTCTCTTAGCGAGGGACAAGTCATTGCTTTCCCGTTTGGGTTTCTCTGTCCTGTGTTGTTCCGCGAACCTCGGGCTGTGGTTGTCACATGATATCTATCTTTTCATTTACTCTGCAGGATGGAATACCGTTGCAAACTCAACTGGTCGAATATCGATGTAATTACATTCTTCTAAAGTAATATCTACTCTACAAACCAGTATCTCTGTACCACAGTATATCAAAAATGATTCAATCAGACAACCGACAATCGACAACTGACAACGAAACGACAGTGGTATACTTCGAAACTCCAATGCAAGTATAATCACCAGTAAGCAATGAAAATTAAATTATCCTCAAGGAACTCGAAACTGGGATATAAGAAAGAGAAAAAAAAAAAAAAAAAATGTAAAGGAAAAGGAAATGCATCCTCCCATGAAGAAAATGCTAAGAAAATAACAGAATAGGGCTTGAGAAGTAAAGAAAACAAAAACCACTTTACAACCAGTATAATAACAGTAAACACACAATATTTGAACAGACGAACAAGAAATGGAAATTTATTGTCCACAAAGGAAATAAAATGATAACATGCTAGATAAATCAATATGTATGCGGGATCAAACGGTCACGGGGTACAATAACAGGACAAACCGATCGCTGCAAGCAGGGGAGAACGTATGCTGTTGGGGTATCACGAGAGAGAAGGGTATCCAATTATCCTCTTTGCTCTTTTCCTTCCATACCGAAAAAGAGCCACTTCATCCTCCTTCCAACGTCAACGCGTTCGAGGTGTATTTGCTCGATTCATCCTGTCCTCACAAAGGAGCTGCCAAAGTGGGACGCCGCCAGGGTACTCAACCCTAAAAGAGCAGGAGTTCAAAGCAATGCGAAAGAGCATGTACAATTAATCGAATCTACCGATCATCGCCAACTCGAGACTTAGCTCGCCGACGGAAAAAGTCCATGACTTTCCTCGCTGCTCCTGAGCTGCCAGGATGATGCTCATACTCGTAGGCATCGGCAAACTTGCGGTTCTTCTGGAGGATACCAGTTCCTCGTCGGTTGCCTTGCATCGACTGTCGGGGAGCATTCTCATTATGGCCATCCAAGTAACTGGGCGCCGAATTATTAGCGTGCGCATGCTGCGCGTATTGCTGATCAGGATACATTTGCTCGACCGACGCGCCGCTGTAGGACGTTGGCTGATAACCAACAGATTGTGTCCCATGTAAGGCCGCAAACTGCTGGTCGATGCGAGCCTGGTAGTTGACTTGTGCATCGTTGGTGAAGACCTCATCCGATGGTCCCTCTGTAATCGAATTAATCGCATCTTGGGTTCCAGAACTGGCCGCGCGGGAGCGGGTTCCTTGAGCACCAGTCGACTGTTGTTGCTGGACGCGATTATTGACATTTATGCGACTCCCTTGTGAATCATTATCCGGGGTTTGCGATCTACTCGACGAACCAAAGCCTTTCAGCGAGAAAGATGCAGGTAAAAGCGAGAATCGACGAGGCCTGCTCTCTCCACTCGACTCGCCATACTTGCGGTTCGACCCAAGAGTGCCTGAGCGTCGAGAATCCACCGAGACTCTCGTGTTGTTATCTCCTGGGAATGGTTCTTTCATGCTGGTAGGCGGGTAGCGCCTGCTATTCCTTTGGCGAGCACCACCCGGTTGCGTACCGCGACCACCGAAAATAGACCCAGATCGACCAAAAAGTCTTTCTCCAATCCCCGAGATCGTGTTCGATCGTTTGTGGCCCTTTGGTGCCTCTTGGCGAGGGGTGGTATTGAATCTGGATGGATATTCCTGAGCACTGGGCCGCCCGATGGACATGGTAGCGGCGTGCGTTGGATCTTGAGGGATAGGTGCGGAGATCACATATTGCTTGTTCGTAGGTTGTGCGAGACGACCCTGGGCGTTGGTTGCCGCAACAGTAGGAGCCACAGGTTGGCCATAAGAGCCCCGCGATGGCAGTCGGCCAGCATTGAACGAGGTCATCGAACCACCGGTGGTCGGCCGCGTGTATTGTGGCATTGGAGGCTGGGGTGGCCCCGTGACCGCTGTGCTGCCCCCAGCTTCCGGCATGTTCGATTCTCCAGCCCCGGGGCTCTGCTCTGCGGACACCTCCTCTTGGGGTGCCGCGGCTCCAGCCGCAGCAGCCGCAGCGTGCGTAGCCTCTGTTGGGGTCGTGTTCGAAGCGACGGAATTCCGTGCAGTAGGAGTCTCTCCTCGGGCGGTCTGAGATTGAGGGGCAACATATTCGACCTGGACTGTTCTCCGCTTGGCATCCCGCGAGGTCTTGGATTTGTCGGACTGCTGGTCGTGCGAGACGTCCCCAGAGTGATGGGTGAGTCCACCCACGGTAGAAACGGGACTGTGGTAGGATTTCGGGGGTTCTCTGACCGACGCACTGCGCGCCAGCGATGGTTCTTTTTGTTCTTCTGAATGGTTGTCAGCAAAATGAACCCTATTGGAGAACAATAACAAGCTATACATACCTTGCGGAATGGTGGTATTGGCAATTTCGGCGACCTGGGTGGTACTGCTGGTGATGTGCGACACGATGTGGGAAAATTCGCTGAGCCAGCTGTGACGGGCGACCTCAAACAGGTCGGCTCGTTTCCGTGGATCAGGTACCAATATCCGCCGCAACAGGTCGCGCGCATGTGGGGTCACATATTCGGGGAATGTCAAGGGAGTTGTGACGATATATTTATACAACAGATTGATGTTGTCACCATCCGGATTTGCCGGGTCATCGTCAAAGGGGAGATATCCTGCAAGCATCGCGTACTGATCGCGCCATATGTTAGCAATCCAATTCTTTAAATTTTTTTTTTTTTTTTTTTTTTTGGCAAGCGGTACGTACCAGAATAACACCACAGCTCCAGACATCAACCTTGCGTCCCGTGTATAACGAATCGCTCACGACAAGTTCCGGGGCAGCATAGCAGGGACTTCCGCAGCTCGTTTGCATGAGATCGCCTCGCCGCATTCCCTTGGCATTGGTCTTGTCCAGTTGCATCCTCTTCACAAAATTCTTGTTTGTCAAATTGTACTCGATCTCCTCACTGAGTTCATCCACCGCGTCGAACGTGTTGGCGAACCCAAAGTCCGTAATGATGATATTGCGATTGCGGTCAAGCAGCAGGTTCTCGAGCTTCAGGTCACGATGCACGATACCTTTCTTGTGCAGATAACCAACACCGGAGACGAGTTGCGCAAACAAACGGCGTGCGGAATTATCCTTCAAATACCGGTTGTTCAGGATGTGGTCGAACAGTTCTCCTCCGGATGCGTACTCCATGATAATTCCAATATGACGGTCGGTTTCCACCATTTCGTGAAGACGGACGATGTTCGGATGTGAGAGGTCGCGGAGGATTGAAATCTCCCGGTAGATCTTGGGAAGTCTGGTGGGATTCGAGCCGAGCACCTCCCTTCGAATAAGCTTGATGGCCACCTGGATGGTGCCGTCTCTCTTCCAACCCAGCTTGACCTTGCCGAATTCACCTTCACCCAGCGTCTGCCCGAGAACATACTGGCCAAAGGTCATTTCTTTCCGCTTGGTCGAGTTGCTGTTGTAGTCATGTCGACTACGCAGCCCGCCACGGCCGCCATCGTCTACACCTTCACTCCCGACCAAACCCAGGCCGCCACCGGACTGGGCACCCTTGCTGGGCGACGACTCCTCAGATTTCCCCGATTGTCGCACCTGCTCCCGCTCGATATCCACTGACGGATCACTGACGAGGACTTGGTTGATCACGGTACTCGACTCCTTGACTAGAGTCCCCTGAGAAGGAATAGTCTCCATCATAGACGCGTTGGTCGGGGTCGCTGGAGAGACGGGAGACCCTGGTGTCCAACTGGCTCTCTTCGACGGGTCCGACGAAGAAGCGGCGGTAGCATGATGCCGCCCAGACTCAGAGCGGTGTTTTGAATGTCGGGATCCCGAACCTTTATCTGAAGGCGGAGAACTGCGGTGGCTGCGATGGGACGACGTTCTAGGGGGCGGAACTGGGGGGCCGCCTAACAGATCGGGATAAATTGGGCGATGCGCGCTGCTCTGGCCGGGCGCAGGCGCCGCGGAAGACGAGGCTGAGGCTGCATGTGTCGACGGCGGCAGAGACTGCGGACGAGGGTTTTCGCTCATAGCCGATAAAGGAGATGAAGCCGTTTCTGGACCGGAACGGAGGAAGGCTGATGATGATTTAGCGCCGGGGTTTCAAGATAGAGGTGAGTGAACCAATCAATGGAGCGCCGCGACAGCTGCGAAGACCCGTGCAGTACAGCGCATGATGAAACAGCGAAATCCCAAAATTGCAGGCGAAGATGTAGAAGGTGCGGCCAAGGGGACTGTTTGCATCAGGGAACAGATTGGGACATACCTTCGTGTTATTGAAGGCGCAAGCGAGTTACCAAAGGAACTCCTGCGTGACGGTCCGAAACAACACTTCGTGAAGCTATAAATGGGTGGGCGATCCTTATTTCGGTTCGTTTGTGCAATCGCAATGAGCGGGTCAAGTTATGACACGATAAAGGAAACAGTAAACAACAAAAATGACCCTCCTGAGGGTTATTGTCTGTTGACAGCTTTTTTGAGAGTTGATGATTTTTTTTTATGGGGTTGTATTGCGATCGCAATCGTTCGTTCTCTGCTGCCAGAGCTGTATTGTAAATCAAGTTAGTTCGTGGATTGCGATCGGAGAGCAAGAGCATGCTTCCAAATACTCGAAAAAAGCAAAACCATTGACGCAAAAGAAATTCATATAAAAGTAATAAACAGGAGAAAGTAGACTGCAAGAAACAAACGCATGGGCTTCGCAAGTCGAAGACGCACCTTTATTATGGAAATTCTTTCTTTCTTTCTTTTTTTCTTTTTTTTTTTTTTCAAATCAAGAAATAAAGAGAAGACAAGTCCCAAGATAGCTGCACTGCAGTAACTACCGCGACTTGTCGTTCACAACCTCTTTTCTTGGCTCTTCTTGACGAGGGAGACCGGGGGGGGATAGCCTCGGGACGCGATTATGGATCGTATTGAATTATTCAGACGGTAGACTGTTTCTGGGACTGTTTCTTTCGAATAGCTGTCGTCGAGACCAGCGTTTAGCACTGCTGCAGGAATTGAGGCCGAGAGTGTACCGCGTATAGGATCATGATCGACGGGCAGCGATAAAGGGGGGAGAGGTGGGAGGCGCACGGAGGGAGGAACGAAACTCGAATTGAACTCGATCGTTTGTTCTGTTGGTGAGGATTCCTCGAGCGAGCAACGAAGACCTGCGTATTAGAAACAGAATAAAAGCGACCCGGTCGGCGAGGGAGAGTAGAGTCGACTACTACTCCGTAGAGAGAAAGAGGAAGAGGGAGAGAAGCGGCGGGCGGCGGAGAAAGACCCGAAGAGGGAAGATAAAGAAAATTAAAGGGCAAAAGAAAGAGAACAACAACAATAACAAAAAAAGGAAAACAAAAGGAAGAGAGAAAAAAAAAAAAAATATATAGAACAGTTTTGAAACTGACTGAAGAAAAGAGGAAGAAGAAAGAGAAGAGAGAGAGAGAGAGAGAAAGGAAGGAAACAGGAAGGAAATGAAGAGAGGACGACGCGGAAGAAGAGGAAGAGGGGAGACGAAAACGGGAGACCCTCTAGTATTGCTGTAGTCTAGCTTAGCTCTTACTCTAACTAACTGCTAGTAATACTGCTGCTGCTACGACGATGATAATTCCAAGCGTCCACTGCCACCGTGTCACTCATTTCTACTCCTCGACTCGCCCTTACTGTTACTTTAATTTTTTGTTTTTTTGTTTTTTTTTTTTTTTTTTATGTTCACTTTCCATGCAGTATAAACGTGTGGACAAAAATAACCAAATCAACAGGGGGATTCACTGTTTCGAACCGACTCGCTTTGAGCCTCTGGGGTTGTGCACCGCGGCGATCCTCATTTCCGTATAAAAGTGGTACAACCATGTCGAGTTCATACAGAGCAATACTATGCACACTGCAGACTCTAACCGATCATCCTCGAACATGTCCACTGTTCCATGGTTACTCGCCCTCTCCTTCCCCAGACAAGGGACGTATCAATTTCGGTCCCTGGAGCAATTATTCAATTGATAATCAACACTATCTCGGACCAACCTCCAATTCTCCGAGTCTATTCCTCATGTCCATGTTCATCTATCTATCCCTACAATATATTCACTCCGAAATCATCCATCTTTCATACAGAACTCTCAAATAATATAATTCAGGGGTTACACCTAATAGTACCACCGCGCAACCATGGTTCTTGCGGCGGCAATGGGTCTGCGGGTGTATATATTTAGTCATCGGCTCTTCCATTCGTCTACCAATGATTCTTTATGACAGGAGCAGGTGGGGTTTATAGTTAGCATTCTATCCTGGACATGTCAGGTGTCAATCAATCCTGTTTTCCGAATCTCCTCACGGCAACGGAATTTATATATATCGGGGTCACTCCATCGTCGGCACCATGGTCACAGGTTGGGGATCTTCAGCTCCAAAATGAAAAGAGACTAAATAAGCTGAGTGCAAGGCCGGCCCTGAGGATCATTTAGCAGCTCAGGTGGCCAAGAGGACTGACCCATAAGTTCATGTCGTTTCGCCATGTCCTGATTTGGGCGTGTTGCTCTTGGTAGCTCGGGAATTGAACGGAGATATGTACAAAAGAAGCACGAGAAGAGAATGAGCTCTTACCTAGTGACGATGATGTGGTGAAGCGACATGGTGGTGAGCCGTGAGATGGAGGCCGCTGGTATTATATATCGACAATTAAGGTAGTTGGTGATATTTCTATTACTTACAGTAAACTCTCTTGATAAACAATCTGGCTAAATCATCCCAAACTATCCACCTAGAGCCCATAACCCATCATAACTCCATATACTCCATCCCGTCATTTTCAATGTCTTTTTCAAATGATATCAACAACAAAACCAAGACACTCCCCATAATCACCGATGACTAGCCGGTAACTCATGAACCTGGTGCTCAGAATTATCCTCGAGCTCCTGCACCGGCAGCGGCGGCTGCGGCTGCTTGGTATCCTCCAACTCCTGTATCCTTTGCTGCGGGGCCTGTGCCCAGGGAATATATCCCATATCTCCGGTCATATGTGGTCCAGGTGCCGTTTGTGCTGCTGCTGCTGCTGCTGCCGCCGCCGTCGCCTTCCGACGACGATGGATGAAAAACCATAGAAGCGCAAGTATCAGTGCAGCTCCAACTACACCCCCAACGACACCGCCAGCGATGGCGCCGGTATTGGTAGAAGAAGAGGATGAAGTTGATGAGTCTGAGTCGGATGTGGATGTAGCCGTGGCCGTGGATGCTGACGTTGATGAAATCGTGACACTCGTGCTAGCTGGACCGAGAATTAGACTTGAACGCACTGATAGAAAGGAAAGAATACGCACTTGAGGTAGGCGCACTAATAGACAACGGCGCCGTATACGAATCATTCGCGTTAAATGACTCCCACGAATCCGCACATCCCACCCAAGTCCGATCATCCTGGAACGCCTTCGTGCCATCAACACAGCAGAAATAACCCGATGCCGGACTGTTGTCTTCGCTACCCTTGGCTCGATAGAGCGTAGCGGTGTCGTTAGCACAATGGGGGTCTTGTCCGAGTCGTTGCCCGCAGTCTACGCCCTTCGGGCAACAGTCATCTTCGCAGGAGGTAGCTGAGGGACAGCATCGGTACCAGGGATCCCAGGTTTTGCCGCAGTTCTGCTCGGTGCTGAGACAGGAGCCGTTACGGCGGAGAGCGTAGCCGTAGGGAGGGTCGAAATCTGACATGATAGGAAGTTAAGTAGACCAAGGTAAAATGATCAGTTGTTGAGTTCTGTCACTGTCTTTTGCTGAAAAATACCGAAGCCGGCGAGAGAGAAATTCAGCTTCGCAGCGGGGAAAGTCAAATATTTAATGCAGCGTCCAGATAACTTATGAGGCTGAGCCGTAATACAATGCCTGATAATTCAGGTGGCTGCAGGATTCTGTCGCCTTGCTAAAGGGGGTAAATAGTCTGGGGACTCGCCAAACGCAGGAACGGTGAATCCGTTGTCTTTAATTTTGCAAACTGGCAAACGGTCTTACATGATCGTCTCCATGCTTTGTACATTCTAGCTGATTCCTCACATTTAAGTACCTCTGAGATACCATCATAGAGTGTCTGTACTTGTCCGTACTCCGTTCTCTCCTGCCATCCAGGATGCACGGCCAGCGGGAGCTAATCATGCTGCGGTGCCCGATTGGCTGAGTTTTTATGGCAGTGCTCGTCGTGATTGGTCGACTGATATCGCTCTTTAATTACCCTTTTGGTGTTGCTGTCACGTGGTTTTCCCTGCAGGTTAACCATACAGAATACTTGCAGAGTACAGTGGTGAATCTGTACCATTCCGGTGCAGTGCTTTCTATGATTAGATACCTCCATAGTCGTTGGTGTAGTGCAAATGGACAACATACCACGAAGAACAGAAAGCTCTCCGGACTCCAAATTAAACTATTCTCGACCCACTGAAACGCGGCACGTCCAATTTCCTGCCATGTGGGCCATTTTGGCCAATAAACGAGATTTATTGACTCTGTAGAATACGGAGTACAAGTACAGGTAGTTCCGTATAGGCTAGAAGCGAGAGAAAGGCCTGGGGCGAAACCACGGTAATTCTGCTCCGAGTCACATACAGAAATATATATTGTAAATCATCTCACCTCCATCAATGTTCTAATAGCCAATCTACCCGACATAGCTAAATTGGTAAGTAACCCAGCTCCACTTCAACCCTACTATGCACCAAGACCCTAACCATGCACAGAGCACTATACAGATAAATGAAATCCCAGATGGCTGGACCGACGAACCCTAGCATCTCGACTCCGATGACGACTGGGCTGCTGATGATAACGAGGGACAAAATATAATCAAAGATCTAGGAATAGAAGGAAGGGGATATCCTATTTTAAGCCACTTTGATTTCTGTGTGCTTCTTTTCGGGGCTGGAGGGAGGTTCTTTCTCTGGAACCGGATGGCTGATGAGGTGTGTGAGGTTATGGCCTCGAGGGATTTGGATGAGATTCTTTCTATTTTAAAAACAGGAGAATTTAAAGGGCTGGGGTTGACGATATGTGGCTTGACAGAATAGTATAAATAAGTAGCTCTTTAGGATCTTTGATCTGGGACTATTGTACAGTGAGGTGATGGTGAGAATGGGAGAAAACTCCGAGACAAAACTACTGTGATTCATTATGCTCTGAGTCACGGTCAAATATATATATATATATATATATCAACCTTCCGCACTCCATAGACCTTCTTCCCACCATCAACTCACCCCAACAGCCAACATAACTAACTCAGTAAGTAACCCAGCTTCACCTGAGCTCTACCAATACCCTAACCAAGCTACAGAGCACCATGCGGATCGCCAACCCCCAGAGGGCTGGACCGACAACCCCCAAGAGCTCGACTACGATTATGAATGGGCCGAGGATAATAGCGAGGGACAAGAAGTAGCCAGAGCTTTAGGAGCAAGGAGGGGTCGTCCTATTTTGTTCGAGACAAGATTTTGTTCGCTCCTTTTTGAGGCTGGGGGAAAGTTCTACATCTGGAATCGGATCAGTCAGGCGGTTGATGAGATTATAGCTCCTACGGATTTGAACGAGATTCTTGGTGCTATGAGGAGGGACGGACTCAGAAAAGTGGAGACTAGAAATCGCTGGTGACGGTGGGTGTGGCTTGATAGAATATCAGGGTAGCAGGGCGGCCGGGCATTCTTCCAATTTCGTGGATGTCAAAAAGCCAGGGTCACCTATGTCCAAGGATTGTGTATTTCAATCAACTGCCGAAATCGCATTGTTTGGTGACTTCTGCCGTTCCTTCAAGACGAAACGCTTACAGCCGCAATACAGCCATTCGAGAACTTCGTATAGCGATCTACAGTGCAACATAGCCTCCTATTCGATGAGAAGAATAGTAAATAAATGGAGGATAGCGTTCCATCGTAGAAAGCAAGTGCTTACTGTTGCCGTTTCCATCAAAGAATAGGCTCAATTAACCAATGGCATTGGCACGATCAAGAGTGCTTTCGTCAGGCTGCCAATCACAGTTGGTAAACAGCCACTGCTCTCTGATGGAGAGTGAGATCAGGTGGGATTGCAACAACAACATACCGGCGCTTGTATTTTAAGTTGAAGACGTAAAGGACGGTACCTAGAATCACGGCGGCTAGACCAGGTGACTACTGTATAGCTACATGCTTCCGTGACTGACTGCGTTGTGAGCATGATGTCTGTAGGTGCAATTGGACGGACTTTAGCTGGCCTTCAGATCACGGTGGAAGGGCTAAGGACAGCAGAATTGAGGTCTGAGGTGAATGGAAGACTGATGTGGGAAACATACCTAGCATGTCTCTGAAAGTGAATGCCTTGAGCTAGTATCTCCATGATGAAAAGGAGCTTCTGTACTTTAGCCTTCTCTTTCTTTTCTATCTCCATCGCAGCTCAGTCATCACATGCATACAGATATTGGGGCATTTTACAAATGGAATAAGAAACAGGTACACTCGTCGCGAGCAAAAGCAAGCCCCACACTATAGGAAGAATAACGGGCAGCGTTCAGTCATAGCGTCTCCTGTCTTTGGAGTAGACAACTCCATCTCCACGCTACAGTCTATCCAAGACAAGATGGCTAATTTAAGGTGAGCATTTCGCAGCCAAAGGTACAGAATACCATGGGTAATCTAGTAACATAGCCTGCCACATGGCATAGGGTTTTTGAACCCCGAACCTCAACAGGCAATCGGCAGATTGTTGCATCCACCTTGGGCACCGGGAGAGCCCGCGAAGATAGTATCGAAATTCAAAGTGAACAGGCAATTTCACGGCGGCGTCCCATACTGGATCCCTTTCGATCTGTTGGGACTTTTTACGTCCTCCCTTGGGCCTACGCCCTCTGGGGCTGAAAGCGCAGCTTCTTCTTGCCATTGGTGACAATGTTCGGGAACTGGTGCCGCACTATTGGCAGGGGCGTTAAAACCCCATGGGCGTATAGCTGCTGTCGGCTGGAAGAGGACTGCGTTTATTTTTCTTCCTTGATGCGTCCCTCGGCGGTATGAAAAATACTATGCTCGACGATGTTTGGACTTAAAACATCCGAAAAGCTCGCTATGCACTTGCTGAGGGTGAGACTATCAAATTACTGGGCTACTCCTTGGATAAGTCTCCCTCAGCATGGGATTCCAAACGGCCAACCATTCGGCAATTGTGGCGAGACATACCCATTTCTACAACTTATGAGGTATTTTTTTCTTGTCAGTTGGTCTATTGGCCTTTAACCAATTTCTAATCAAGCTATATCTTAAAGTTAAAGGGAATAACCTTCATATGACAGACTCAGCGCATAGGTTGCCGAACCATGCAAAAATGCGTTGTCCGCTATGTCCATCTTGAAGAATTGAGTATTGCAATCTCGAAAGACAGGGCAGCCCATCCCACATTTATATGGAGAGAGTTTAGACAGTGGAAATTGTTACTGAAAGAATACGCTATTGGAAATCTCTACGCTGCACTATGATCGTGCATTTAGACAACTTTTCTGGAGACCACGAGTACATTTCCCAATAAAATCTCTCGCCTGTTAATCAACCAACTCTAACCATTCGCTAACCAAGCTAATATTTTAACAGAACCAGTCTGGAGATGAATTGTTGACATATGCACAAATCAACAGCAACTAATCAAACTACATGTGAAGACAGCCCTTCGATACAGACGTGTGACGAAAACCAGTTTCGATGAGAGCACTACCGCTCTTTCATTACAGGGCCACAGTCCGTTCTCATTTCACCAGAATACATCGCAATGAGATGGAAACAGAGGTGATATGATAGAATTCTTGATTCCCCCAAAGAAATGGGACTTCAAGCTCCTACAAGATGGCCTGGAGCCGAACAGATTTGGAAAGGGAGACAAAACGGACAATAATTTGGCAATTGTGCCGAGACCTATCCGTTCTTGTACTTTTAACAAATTTCAGTGTCTCTGGCATACCTACAGGCTACCTAGATCAAGTCTTCGATATAGACGCCTCCTTTTGTCGCACGAGTTTCGAAGTCCCGTAATGTTCAAGGAGCCAACCAAACTGTGCGATCTTCGACGCTAAAAGCATTGTTGTGTTGGGTTTCGGCGTCACTGAGAATCAAGACACCATTTCAGAAGCGATTGAGCGACATGATAACGTTCTCTCTTTTGGAGCGACCTCGAATTACAAGACTACGGGTCTAATCATGGCATTATGTTTTTCAACAAGAGTATTGTCACTCTTTGTTATAGACGGATGATAAAGGGTTCTTGTCACACATGCAACCAGGAAGAAGATGGCAGATTTTGGGATCATTGTGACCACACTGGAAGGATTCAAAAGGTTTCAGATGGATCATTAGATCGCAAAAAGACGGAAATGACGACGGAGCAGACCTCATCAACTTCTTGGCTCCGACAAATAATTGGGGCTTCGAACTTCTACAGAATTACCTGGAATCTGAAAGGAAACCCCCCATACAACGAGAGGAAAGACCGAACGGACAACCCTTCAACAATTATGCCGAAGAAACGTATCCCTTCTTCTACCTGATGAAGTACGTTTTCTCTCCTGCGAACTCAGCCGTGACGATTAACCAACCAATCTAACCAATGGCCTAGAGGATACGGGGGCCAATGTCAGAATGTGAAAGGAATCGCTGTGCACTGGAAGGGGGTTCGTGGCCCAGAGTACGACGACTCCCTTAGTGAAAAAGTCTGGAAATGGGTCGCGGACCCGTACATCAACTGCCAGGAGCTAATCGAGATTCATGGGGCCAATCCGAACAATTTCTAGAAGTATGCGGAATCAGCTTGGGGTTCCCATATAGCTGTCATTGTCAAAGCAAGACCATTTGGACAATGCTTACTGAGGTAACAATCACCATGCAAATTGCGCTTTAACTAGTGCTTCAAAGTGATAACAGGCAAATTGACGTCTGTTGTTAGGTATGTGCTGGGGATTGCATACAAATTATGTACATCCAAGAAACGGTTGTTTTGATGTTCTGGTGTAGTTGTATAAGGTGTCAGGAATCATCAACAAAGGAATAATAATCTATAACTCTACCTTATCACTCGTCCGATTGTACAAATGTTTATACACCGGAAAATCTTCCGCGCTCCGTATGCAATTCCTGCGTCAAAAAGGGAACAGTTCCGCAGCCGTTAATTAACCCCGCCCGGAGCATTGTTTTATTTTATCTACCCTAACCCCTGGGTATTCCCTTCAATTCATCCTTCAATTGCCAGAGTGCAGTCAAAATGCCCTTCAAAGGCGTCTGCAACTGCGGAAATATCCAGGTCTCGCTGGATCAGCAGCCGGAAAATACTTTGGTCTGCCATTGGTACATACATACCCCTCTCCGAGGATGTGCATATGCATGGAGCTTATTTACTTTGATCGAATAGCCGCAATTGTACCAAAGCAGGCGGTGGCCGTGAGTTTCTTATCTCTATCTGGGTATAAAAGAATGGGAAGTAATAGGTTGACTATCATAGCCTTCTCAATAAACTACGCCGTCGAAGACTCCACCGCCAACATCAACGACCCGCATGCAAGTCTGAAGATCTACAAGGATGCAAACACGGATAGTGGGAATCGCATTCAGGTACCTCCTCACCTGGACCCTGCATTATATCCATGTCCGAACTATGCTAACAAGGGTAATGTGAAGCGCCAATTCTGCGGAAACTGCGGCAGTCCCATTCTAAGCAAAAGCCCCAAGTACCCCGGGATGTCGATTTTCAAGGCTATGTTGTTTGAGGAGTTGGCGCCGCCTAGTAAGGAGGTTTTTACGGGGTCGAGGGTCGGGTTTGTGAAGCCGATTGAGGGGGCGGAGCAGGCTTGATTGTTTGCTTTGGTGTTATTGGGGTTGTGAGTTTGGAGTTGTGGTGTAATGGATACGGGGTGTTGGTTGCATGTATAGATGTAAAGTATGATCGGGTACGATGAGTTAGGAGTTTGATGAGTGTATGTATGGGTGATGGATCGAGAGTAGATATCATTTTATATCACGCGATTTTCAACTCCGCACGCCTAGAGTAAACCAAACATCATAGTATCTCGATTCTGAAGCAAAATAGGCTAACGCTTCCCCCCACCCATACCCGATCCTCCCAGCGACCTAGTGTCTGACGCACCATACGCAGGAGGCGGGGTGGGGTTTGGCGAAGGACGTCTGGCAACGGGATTGGGACCAGCCCCAGAGCCCTGAGGCCGGGTGCCCGAAGGACCAGCCCCGCTCACTTCAGGTGGAACCTCACCACCATCGCCAGAACCAACCACAACCTGTTGACCGTCCTTCATGCGTCCAACGACCATACCCTTAGCCACGGACTTGAGAAGCGCCTTGCGACTCACACCAGATGCATCGATATACACCAACCCGACGTTCCTGACACCACCCGTCAAGTTGGCGGCTACGGAGCCTGCTTCCTCACCGTAGCGATGCGCGACCATGGTGCTGGCCGCCGTGGAGCCCGAAGTCATGAGGTTCCGCGCGCCCTGCTCGATACCATCCGCCAGTGTGGAGAAGGCGATCATAGACTTGTTGAGCATTCCGGGCTTGTAGTCGGCGCCTCGCTCGCCCTTTTCCCTTTTACGGCTCAGAGATGCACCAAGGTTCTGCGCGTACTTGCCCACCTGGCCGACCGTCTTGGCCGAGAAATCTGCCGCGCCGTGGGAGAAATTCCCGATCTTTCGAATGCGTGCGTGTGTTGTGTCCGAGAAGGTCATGGGTTGCTGGTTGGGCTTGACCTTTTTAGTGAAGCCCTCTGCGCCGCTGGTCAAGACATTGGAGATGTACGAAGAGCCGGTGACAACAAGACGAGACGCCGTCGCCGATGACTGGACAATCGTAGAGCTTTTGTAGGCCGGATGGCGCGCCATTCGGAGGTATTCTTCAGAGGCATTGTCGACGCTGATTTGGTTGCCTTCGCCTTCTTGGGGGAGTTGGACTTCAACGGGCCCTTTAAGATCGTTAGCTACTGTTCCCTGCTTGTGCTCAAGAGGTGAGGGGGTGACTTACTCTTTGACCCCGGCTGAACACCAGGCCTCTCCACGACATCGTACCCTTCCATCTCTCCCACAACACTACCATCCTCCTCATCTATCAGTACAATTTGCCCATGCGCATTCTTAGTAGGCTTAGTCCCAGGCGAGACATATCCTTCGCCCGGAGCAAAGTTCGCGGGGTTATACGGTGCATGCCCCTTGGACACAGGCGCCGGCGCCCTCTCAAGGAACGCAGTGCACTGCGCCAAAATCGTCTCAAAGGTATCCACATCATCCTGTGACACCTTCTCCGGCCCAGTCCCAACCCCAGGAAACTGTATGCGGATGAACGCGCCCGCATCCGGGCCAAGATCCCAGCGGGGAATCAAGTAGCTGGTCGGCGGTTGGTGGTAGATTTGAGTCGTCGCGGGAAGAGCGAGGTCAAGCTCCGGAGGGAGGTGCAGATGGAGGTAGTAGTCCTCCTCTGCTGGCCCATTTCCTTGAGGAGTGGTGCTCGTTGGGACCATTAGGAGGGAGAGGTTCTGGGGTCCCGAGGGGGTGAGTTCGGTTTCTTCGCCATTTTGGATGTGGTATGCGGTGATATTGCTGATGCTGTAAAGCAAACGAGGGTCGTGATCGGGTGCCGCCATTGTGAATTGAGTGTATGTATTAAGTGTGAGTTTCAGGGGACAATTTGAACAATTATTACTCTGTAGAGATGTGGTCCGCCGCGGGGAAATAATGACGTCGTTCGATGGGTATCAAGTGGCAGATAAAAATAGCCACACAAGCAGATAGAGACAAAGAGACTAGACAGTACAGAGTAGTAGACAGTAGTAAATTCCAGAGCAACGAGCCGCCTTTATTTATCTTGATACATCTCTGAGCGCTTGCGTAGAATCCAACAAGATGGCTTATGTAAATCGCAGGCTGCTCCATTTTGGGGCGCTGCGCCATATAATATGCACCGCCACATTCCCAACGCCACACCCATCCACCATTCAAAATCATGAGTGTGGCTTCAAAAACTGGTTGGATATGAAATCATAGAGAATGTTGGGGTGAATATCGACTGTTATGGTGCCAAGTGACGGCACACGTACGCAGTCAGCATTACCAAGGCAGCCATCTATGGATGAGTGATTTCCAGCACACCAGAGCCAGAAGTTGTTTCTTCCAATCGCTGAATACAAGGCGAGATGGCCATCCAAATCTTATCTGATCTCCATTTGGAGACCCCAACTGCTTACGATCTATTCGAAATTTCTCCTAAGGCACCTTATCTCGCTCTCATTGGAGATATCGGTAACGTCAAGGACGATGGTCTCTTCGCCTTCCTCGAAGCACAACTGCGCAAATTCCAGGTCGTCTTTTTCCTACTGGGCAACCATGAACCGTATCATTCCAACTGGCCGACCGTGCGGACCAAAGTGCAAGAATTCTCAGGCGTGATCACCAAGCGAAGACAATCCGAAAATCTCGGAGAATTTGTCTTCCTAGACCAGACGCGGTATGATCTCTCACCCGACATCACCGTCCTCGGCTGCACACTTTATTCCCAAGTCACCAAAGCCCAAGAGCAACGCGTGAGCTTCGGCCTCAACGACTTCTACCAGATCGAAGACTGGACCGTTGAGGACCACTCTGCCGCCCATCAAGCGGATCTAGCATGGCTCAACTATCAGGTCTCTGAGATTGTCCGAACAGATCCCCGCCGCAAGATTGTGGTGTTCACCCATCATAGCCCGATTGCTGGCGACCCGCGTGCGGCTGATCCTGCCCATAAGAACAGTCCCATTTCGTCTGCCTTTGCGACTGATCTGACCGACGCGGGGTGTTGGAAGACTGAGCAGGTGTGTGTCTGGGCGTTTGGCCACACTCACTATAACTGCGATTTTGTGGAGGAGCGGACAGGTACGAGGGTGGTTGCGAATCAGCGGGGGTATTATTTTTCGCAGGCGAAGGAGTTCGATCTGGACAAAGTGATTAGCATGTGAGATAAGATAGTCCGTAGTACAATCCTTTCACCCGTTCCTCTGAGCGTGTTGTAGACAGACGGTTACCTCGTGTGCTGTGCGGATTTACTGAGGATCCCCGCGGGCCCGCGGTTAGCCGAGGCTGTCTGCGCTTCCCTGTGATCCCCTCCAACACCGAGAACGAACGTCTTGCCTCGCTTCTTTTTTCTTCCCCTCCTTCTTTCTCTTCTTCAATTTCAAGAACTCGTGACTGTGTTTATTTCTTGAGTTTAGGATCTACTTCCCTGTCCTTCCGCTACAATGGCTTCCATTTCCCGTGCTTTGCGGCCCTTGTCCCGCGCTACTTCTTTAAGACTCGTAGCTAGAAGACCAGCTTCTTTCCGGCCAGTTCAGAGGTATGCAATTCTCTCGAACCCTTGATGCTTTCCCCATCAGAGCAGAAGCAGGGAAATATCTACAGAAACTGACCAGCCCAGCTATGCATTCTCTACCACCCCCCGCCGGCGGGACGGTGACCTCTCCCACCTGACGCCTACCCCGATCTCCCACCTCTCCGAGACTGAATCCCTCATGCAAGACACAGTATCCAAGTTTGCTCAAGAACAAATTGGCCCCAAGGTTCGCGACATGGATGAAGCAGAGTCCATGGACCACACCATCGTCGAGCAGCTCTTTGAACAGGGAGTGATGGCTATTGAAGTCCCCGAAGAATTCGGCGGAGCCGGCATGAACTTCACCGCTGCCATTGTGGCGATTGAGGAGCTGGCCCGGGTTGACCCCAGTGTCAGTGTGTTGGCCGACGTGCACAACACGCTCGTCAACACCGCTATCATGAAATACGGTAGCAGTCAATTGCAGAAGGAGTTCCTGCCCAAGTTGGCCACAGGGTCTGTGGGCTCGTTCTGTCTTTCTGAGCCCAGCTCCGGATCCGATGCGTTTGCGTTGCAGACTAAGGCTGAGAAGACGGCGGATGGGTACAAGTTGAACGGCTCGAAGATGTGGATTACCAACGCTCAGGAAGCTGGTGTGTTTATCGTCTTTGCCAACTTGGATCCTAGCAAGGGCTACAGGGGTATCACTTCTTTCATTGTTGAGAAGGGGACTCCCGGGTTCTCGATTGCCAAGAAGGAGAAGAAGCTTGGTATCCGGGCCTCGAGCACCTGTGTGCTCAACTTCGATGACGTCGTCATCCCTAAGAGCAACCTGCTTGGTGAAGAGGGTCAGGGTTACAAGTATGCCATTGGCGTCCTCAACGAGGGCCGTATTGGTATCGCCGCTCAGATGACTGGTCTTGCTCTCGGTGCCTGGGAGAATGCCGCTAAGTAGGACAACCCCAATTCAGCCAAGCAATCTTCTTGCTAACATAGTGCTTACAGATACGTCTGGAACGACCGCCGTCAGTTCGGCCAGCTCATTGGTGATTTCCAAGGCATGCAGCACCAGCTCGCCCAGGCCTACACCGAGATCACTGCTGCCCGCGCCCTGGTCTACAACGCCGCCCGCAAGAAGGAAGCCGGCCAAGACTTCGTCCAGGACGCCGCCATGGCCAAGCTGTACGCTTCCCAAGTTGCCGGCCGTGTCTCCGGCTCTGCTGTCGAGTGGATGGGCGGCATGGGCTTCGTCCGTGAGGGTATTGCTGAGAAGATGTTCCGGGACAGCAAAATTGGTGCTATCTACGAGGGTACGAGTAACATTCAGCTGCAGACTATTGCGAAGCTCTTGCAGAAGCAATATACGCAATGAATGAGATGATCTGTTGATTGATGATTTTCCGGTTTATCACTTTTTTTCCTTGGGTATACATGGCGTATGATAAGGGGTGGACTGTTCACTTTTCATTTTTATTTATTTATTTTTATTTTTTTTAAATGTATATCTTCTAGCTTTGTGGGGCATCATTTATGATGATCCTTGTATGATAGATCATATCAACAATCGTGCATACCCTGGATCTCGGGCATCATTTTCTTTTTCTTTTTCCTATTTTTCGAGCACAATTACAAAGTGCAAAAAACAAATACCGAGAACAAAAGAAATCTATAAGGCCCTTTTAGACCAATCTCTATCTATATACTGCAGTGTAGATCAACATACAGCCATACAGCCATGCAACCATGAATATAAATAACCTCGTGACACATAAGAATGCAACAAAAGAAATAATAAAATGAAAAAAAAAAAAAAAAAAAAAAAAAAAAAAAAAAAAAAAAAACTCTCGTGCGCGACGGGGTCGGTTATCGGATCTCTGGATGCTTTATTCCAGCAGGATTATTATTATCCCTTGTCCCTCGAGACGAGATAGCCGTGCTCTGTCTGGGGTTTAATGCAGAAAACGCCGCAATAGATCAGGGTAGGTTCGGGAGAACGTCGTCGTGTAGAAAGGTTCTTGGAAAGATAGGTTCATCGAGACAAAACAAAAGGAGTCCTGTAAAATATCGAAATGAGAGTCAGTTATGGATGAATTATTCGCGTATTCGGCTGTTTTCTGGTCACACTCACGCTTCTGTGATCCAGCACGATAGCAAAATAAGCCCTCTCCTAGCCTCGGACGCGTTCTCACCCTTATGACCCTGACGGGATGTAAGACCACCCGGTCTCTCTGTCTCTCTGTAGTGATCGTAGAGCCCGCTCTTTCGAAGGTAAACAAATGTTCAACAACCTGGACTCGCAGCTCGTGTTATTCCCGGTAGAGGGGAACGGGAGCCTATGCAAAAATTTCTTCCGTGACCCTGACTCGCGTCAACCGTCTCTCAAGACTGCTGGTACCAAGGGTAAGTGTACTGCGACTGATTACCCTGTGGTCGGCCCAGGGCATTCTGAAACTGCGGCTGCTGCTGTGGGAAAACTGGATACTCGCCAGGACCCTTGTCAGGTGGTGGGATAGACGCATCAGGAATCGACCGCGGCGCAGCACCGTACGCCATCGCACCCGGCTGAGGACTATGTTGCGGCAAGTCCTCCCCGTGACTCGGGTGGGGATTGCTAGTTGGGTAGTACTGCGAGTATGACGGGGTCGTTGGATCTGGTAAACGAGTAGCGCCAGAGGCATTGAAGCCCGGAATCTGCGGCGGCGCAATGGGCATTGACGCTGGTGCTTGCGATGGGATTTGAGGGGCTTGGAGTTGCCCTCCTCCCAACATGTATGACTCGACCCGGTTCGGGTATTCTGTCTCTGATGTTTCGCAGAGGGATGAAGGCGACCGGACTGAGCTGTAGTGTTGCCAGTCTGGGGCGAGAGATACTTGACTTGGCGTCGATAGGGCGGATGGGGCTCGAGATGCTGGGTGTAGGCCTAGCGGTCCGGGTAGTTGTGGAGGAAGCGAAGGTGCTGGTGGGCTGTTGTAGGATGCTTTTGTTGTTGCCCAACTTGTCAGCGATTGTGGCCACGCGACTGAACCATTACGATAAGACCATGGGGAGAAAGAAAAAAAAAAAAAAAAAAAAAAATTAGAAAGGAAAGAACTCACTATGAGGATCCGAATACCCTGGCCTGCCACCCACTATCGCCAGTTGATGTCGTAACCGATTAATCTCGTCCTCCAGGATAGCATTGCGCCGTACAACTTCATCAAACTGTTGACCCCTTGCCTTGAGCTCCGCGACCTGAAGCTCCAAGTTCTCAATGTGCTCCTTTGTCCGCTGCCGGATGGTCCTTTGAGCCTCTCGATCATTCGCCCGTTTTCTCTCCAACTGTTCCGCAGACAAAGAAGTCACTTTGCGGGTCCCCGCGCGCGACTCTCGTTTTTTCGGCGTAGGTGTATCTCTGTTAGGGCTCATGGTGTACCTTTTCGGATGCGATAGAGGAATGCTTTCGGATGTTGTCACACGAGGACTGGAGGGGGGGGGGTGGTGGCCAGGCAGTTGTCTTGCTTTTATCAGAGAAGCGAGCGAGGCAATGGGCTTTTGTTGGTATCGAGGTACACATGCGACGTCGAAAGTGTAAAGCGAGAACGGTAGTTCCAGAACGGGAAGCGTGGGGTACTAAAAGGTTCCGGGCTGTCTCTTCAAATCTCAATTCGTGACTGTAGTCGTTCCATCTGCGTGGGTCACCCTAACCTTGTTGCTATGTTTGTCCAACTCCGTAAGGAGGTGGGAAAAAAACAAGCCGTTTGAGAATATCTGGAAAGCAATGGGCAGATAACCTTTTTTAGTGTGCTTTGGGGAGGAGCCTCGATCGGAGGAGTTGGCTGTGGCTCCTCTCCTAGGCTAGTAAATTCCTTTTTCGTCCCCCTCGGGCTAGAGTTCCTAAGAAATTAGGTATACACCCTTAAGGATCGCTCCCTTCTCCAGATCGTCATTTAGGCACTCAACTAAATCCGTTTATACTATCTAGTTAATGTCCGAAGTCCCGAGAATATCGTCAAGGCATTTTTAGAAGCCGATAGATTGACTGACGCCATGAATATCATCTCGCCAATCCGTTGGGATTGGTTAGGCCACAAGAGACCGTGGCAGCAGATATGTCAGGCGTGTATGGGTCAGCTCTAGACGCGCCTCCCGACTTTCCCGACTTTATGCCGTGAACATAGTTAATCCCTCTTCTAATTTCATAGGGGACAGTCGGTCTGGAGCGATTGGTTGGCTTCTATGTAGCAGCAAAGACCAAGATACTGTATGTGCGTGTTGAGACCGGTGACGTTCCTCTGTTGAGAGAGCATCACCGAACAAGTCCCGGAACCTGTTTTATTTTTTATTTCATTTTTCTCCCTGTGACACCCCTCCCCCCCCCGGTATAAATAAGTCAATTGTTTATTATTATTGTTTTGGCGGGAATCCGTATATGGCACCGTGTCTGTAACTGTATTCATTAGGTGTTGTGGATCCTTGAGGACATTATTATTCAACGCCACATGGGCATGTTGTAATCCACCATTCAGCAGTTGATATGTTCCCCATTTCTTCACTACCCAACCCAATCGGCGTCAGGGGCCGCCAAAGTGGAAAACCCGGGAAACCCTAGAGACACTGGATCGTACTCACTAGCGTACTCGGTAGCCAGCCGACCAAGAAATGCATGGGGAAACAACATTGACTTATGCAGCCATTGATCTAACAGGAAGGAGGATTGCTGAACCAAACAAGTGGACAGGACGGCTAATACCGATCTTCGGCCTCTTATTTGAAATTCCAGTGGGTGATTTCCCAGGATCGACCTTTCTTGGCGGTCACTGAACCTAGAGGCTCCCCCCTCTTAGCTTATTCCGTATCGAGTAAAAAGTACTCCGGAAGTGAAGCAATTCTCGTGTTCGTTGGCCGCTGGTGAGTTTTGCCGAACCACAGGTGAGTCCTTGACCGACACGAGCGAAGATCAGATATCGCGATTATTACACGCAGCATCAAATCGCGTTGCTTACCTTACCAAGGCTAGCGGCATTGGATTTTTGGAAGAGAGATGCCTCGAGTGTACTTGTAAACAGGAAGCGCAAGAAAACCGATCCTTTCTTTTCCCCTTTTGCTTTTTTTGAGAATCCTTCCGGCCTGAGAGAAATCGGGGTTTCAGAGTCCCCAGTTTCAAAACCCAGGCCAAACTCGGACTCGGAGGAAGAAGAGGTGGATTTCATTGAGGAAATCTTTACGGCGCCAGTAAGCAGGGGGGAAAAAAAGGGCAGTGTTCTCTGTATGACGCACATCGATCAATTCGTTGCCTACCAGGCCAGGTTAGCGGGTATTTAGCATAATTAGTTGAGAATGGAACCAAGGTTTGCTTCTAGAAACCATCCGGGACCCATAAACATACCCAAACTCTAGGGGTAAATCTCACTTCCGCTGCACTATTTTTTCCTCAGGATGATGAAATTCCGGAAATTCCTTCATTCCTTCCACGGCTTCCCGTCCGAAGAGGTTGATTGTCCGGTGTGTCGGGAGATATGTGGGCCTGGTTGCTGCAAAACATAGTAGTCGTAGTAGACAGAGAGCCTGGAAGTCGCACCATAGAGAGAAGCCGTGTATATCCCTACTCCGTACAGGGGTATTCTTCTGGAAGACACTCTGGTCGCCTCACTTGATCGACGCGTTAATCGCAATAATTCCTAATTTAGCTGCGTTTGAAGGCGTACTAAACCGCAACTCTGTAGGCAAATGCCGACCAAGTGGATTTTTTGCTTCGTCCGATTAAACCCGTGTCGAGAACTCTGAAAAAACCCTTGTCGATATTAACACAGAGCACGTTTCCCTCGTTCCCATCTTGAAACAGAACACAATATCGGAGTATCATGGTGCAGCCGGACACTCCGTATAGGATACGAAATTAGTTAGCACAGACGTCAGAAAGACCCGTGCTCCTTCTAGAAGTTCGGTTTTCTGGCGTTCTTTTCCCAGTGATGCTAACATCTGCCGCCTCTACACCGCTGATATGATTCTATGATTCAGATTGTTGAACATCTTTGTCATATTCGAGGCAAAAAGCCGATGTCTGATTGATCGTTAACGTGCGACTAACCCATCCTGGTCAACGATATGCCGTGTCCTTCGCCTCCGAGATCCGATTCTGCAACGGACACCCGCACCGTTCTATTATTCCTTGCTGATCAGAGCAAGGGCTTTTCTGGACCGTCTGTCGACAAATGAACACTGGATCTTGGACCCTCGAGACGGGGTTTCGGCAAGAAGGAGGACCTTCTTGTTCGGCAGTAGGCAGTAGGCCGTAGATTCTTCTCACGGATGAATCTTCCGTATTCTGCGTTGCATACGAGAGAAAGATCGCCCACCTATCTGTCATCGTCTCTGCGGGTCTTGGGCATTCAAGGCTGTTCTGGCTCAGATCTTGCTGATCATACGGCCAACTGCATATGTCACAGGCTCCCTGCAGATTTAGGAGAAAGTAAAAGACTGAGTCTTTGATGGCTCTAGCGAGTCAGTGTGTTCCCATCAGAAGACGCTGGACGTTAGAGGAGAAAGCAGGCAAGTAGGCGGCTCGCGCACACTAATCCGTATTGAGAAGTCGTCCTATTTCGCCTCTACAGTAAAGAGTTTATTCCTTCAATGGGACTTGAGAATAGACTACGATATCGCAAAGAATGATATTGAGTTTCCTGTCTGGGCGAAGCCTTGGGGCGTAAATCAAGGCGACCCAAGCCTCGGATCCAGCCTTGTTGATTCGTATCCTCAGGCAATACAATGAGCTTATCCAAAATCTCTGAGCGACTTGTAGACAGCAAGTGTTTGGTGACCTGAATGTGGGCTCCTCGATACACCATAGCATGGGCAACACCGACGAGTAATTGGAGATCCTAGCTTGGGATCCCCCAAGGGACTTGAGGTGTCTCATGATGCTAGAAAATTGATGGTTAGGAGTGCTGTCACACATCGCGTTCGGGGGATAGTATGGGGTACTCCACGCCTAACGACGGCTGGGGGTCTTGAGGCTGTATCAGAAAATGTCTCCTCAATCCGCCAGCATGCGACGATGAAGCGTTACCACTCTCGAGCAGTTTTCGCAAAGGATGGTCACAGTATGTGTTCGACACATGAGAGGTTTGATGCAAGTTTGTCTTGTGCTTGAGGTATGTTCATTTTCGCATTATCCCAACGTCTGTCTCATCGCACAGTTTCAATATCACGATCTTATAGCTCATGTATTGCCTGAGGAATGATACCCTGCTGGCACGTTTCAAGGGTTCCGTGTCTTAGGACGTAACTCATATAGAAACTGTTTGTAATATCAAGTGCTTCACTCTTGTTTGGATTCGGTATTAGCTATTCTCATCTAGATTACTATTAGATGGGCACCTCAAGTTTGTGGGAGAATTGCCTACCAGAATGACCCGCAAAGGACCATTAAGTTGGAAAATGATGGTGGAGGATAGAAACAAAGTAGGCGGAGTCGGCGATCCGAATACCGGAATCTTGTGAACACATCACAAAAAAAAAAAAAAAGGCCAGACAACACTACCCATTCTTTGAGTAAGGCTATGTGATCCAACAGTCCACATACTCCCGTAAACAGTCAGGATGGATCCAAGCTACAAAGCCCGAAAAGAGGCCTTTGTGTCGGACCTCTCCGGAGGAAGTATACTGGAAATCAACGCAGTCACTTTGGTTGCGCCGGTACGTGGATATAAATTACTTGCTTTGATTTCTGTTTGCTAACTGACGCCGTGCAATTAGGTCGCTGTTCTTCTGTGGTCTGTTCTTCAGTCCCGCCTGTCGTTCTTCGCGCCGTACAGTGCCGCCGCACTTGTAGTCGACTTCCTACTGAACGTAACGGCCATCTTATTCGCGGCGACATTATATTCGTCTGCTCCGCTGCTCCTAAACCTCCTCATCGCGTCGCCTGTCTTCCTCCTGCTCCTCAACACCCCTCGCCCGCGCACTCAAAAAGCCAAACCTCCGCAAAAAGAAGCCTCGAGTAAATCGCACAATGCCACAAACCAGCTCGAGTCCTTGCCAATCCACCCGTTTCTCACAATCTACCGCGCCGCCATGATGGTTATCACCTGCATTGCTATACTGGCGGTTGACTTTCGCGTCTTCCCCCGCCGCTTCGCCAAGGCTGAGAATTGGGGAACATCGCTGATGGATTTGGGCGTGGGGTCGTTCGTGTTCTCCGGAGGAGTGGTATCTGCTCGTTCGCTTCTGAAGAGCAGGAGCAACCAGGCTAAGAGGACACCTTTGGTGCAGAGATTCATGGCTTCAACCCGTCATTCCATCCCGCTACTGGTTCTGGGTTTGATACGGTTGTACAGTGTCAAGGGCCTCGACTATGCGGAGCATGTGACGGAATACGGCGTGCACTGGAACTTCTTCTTTACCATCGGGCTTCTGGCACCGTTTGTGGAGATATTTGATGCCTTGGCTGCGTTCATTCCGTCATATGAAGTCCTTGCTCTGGGCATTGCCGTTTTGTACCAGGTTGCTCTGGAGTCAACGGATTTGAAATGGTACATTATGGTTGCGGATCGTGGGCCGGACCTACTGTCCAAGAACCGGGAAGGTGTCTTCTCCTTCTTGGGCTATCTAGCCATTTTCCTGGCTGGTCGGGCGATTGGCGCCCGTATCATGTCCCGGGACACAATGAAGACACCACAGCAAGCGAGAAAGAGTGTGCTCGTCAGCCTGGCTGTTCAGGCGCTGGCGTGGACGGCTCTTTTTGTACTGAACTCCACCTACGCGGGAGGCTATGGGGCCAATATTCCGGTCTCGCGCCGGCTTGCAAATATGCCATACGTACTCTGGGTCTGCGCATTTAATAATGCGCAGCTCTTCCTCTTCTGCCTCATTGAGACCGTGTTCTTCCCGGTCCCTCGGACACCGTCCAAGGAGGGCGAAGCGGAGCGCACTTCATTCGCGACCAGCCAGATCATGACGGCGTTCAACAAGAATGGTCTCGCGATCTTCCTTCTCGCGAATCTCCTCACTGGAGCAGTAAACCTGAGCATTCCTACACTCGATGTCAGTACGGTTCAAGCCATGGTGGTCTTGGTGGGATATGCGGCAGTTCTAACAGGAATTGCGGTGGGATTGGACAAAGCCAACATCAAGTTGACGATTTGAAATACTCTTTTATATTCTAGACTAGTTATATATTACTGAATGCGCACAGCATATTTCTTTATTTGTACTAGTACTCTGCAGACATGTGATCATCGGGTCCCACTCGGCTATCACTCTTATATCACCACTGCCCATCCTCCCATAACCACTCAACCACTTCCCAATTCAACTTCAGTATGACTTCCAGCCAAAACAACCAATTCATCAACTATCCAGAGCCCCGCGAAGGCCCTCCGGCACCTTACCAAAATGAAACCCAGTCGATCCCCGTCTTCCGGGGCATTCCATTGGTGATCGGAGCTACATTGTGAGCAAACAAACACCCCAGACTACACCCCGGCAAAAACCGAACCTAATACGTGGAATTCCTCTAGGATCCATAACATCGGGTTCATTCAGAGCCATTTCTGGAAGAATGCCGGCTTCGACGTTATCCACGACATCCCCCAACTCAAGCAATACTCCGCCCGCTACGATCCCACCGTGATCCCGGTGCGTCGCGATCAGACGGAGACTGCGACGGACCCCCCCGCGCCAGAAACAAAGAGGCAGGGAAAGAATGGATACTATACGTCGGCGGATTACCATGCGCTATTCAAGACTGCAGAATTGTCGCCTATTGATGTCGTTGAGACGCTGTTGCCTCTGATCCGTCGCGATGCGCAACCGCCCGGTAAGCACTCGGTCGCGTTTCTTGAGTCGAAAGTGGATGGGATCCGGGCTGCGGCGGAGGCTTCTGCGGGACGGTATAAGAATGGGAAACCGCTGGGTCCACTGGATGGGGTTCCTGTTGTCGTGAAGGATGAAGTGCATGTGGAGGGGTATGACCGGACGCTGGGGACGAAGTTGGACTTTAAGAATGGGCTGGAGGGGACGTCTTGGTGCGTGAGGAAGTGGGAGGAAGCGGGGGCTATTGTTATTGGGAAGACTACGATGCATGAGTTGGGATTGGGTGAGTGCGCATATACCCAGGTACACAGGCGGGGTGCTAATTCGGACAGACACAAACAACAACAACCCCAACTACGGCACCCCGCGCAACCCTCACAACCGTGACTACTACTGCGGTGGTTCTTCAGGAGGATCGGCCTACGCCGTCGGAGCAGGACTGGTCCCCATTGCCCTGGGCGCAGACGGCGGAGGCTCGATCCGAATTCCCTCTTCCTTCTGTGGTCTCTGGGGACTCAAGCCCTCTCACAGCCGGGTCTCTGCAGCGCCTACCCTAGGCCTCGCACCTACAGTTGGTGTCTATGGACCCATGACAACAAGTATCGACGACCTCGCCCACGCATACCGCGTCATGACCGCACCACCCCCGGCATCCGAAGACTCGACATCCTCCACTTTCCCTCCCCCAAGCACACCCATAAGCACCAACACAACCAAGAAAATCGGCCTCGTCCGCGACTGGATCGACCGCGCCGAACCCCCCGTCCGCGCCGCCTTCGACAACGCCCTCGCCTACTACAAAAAACAAGGCTACGAAACCATCGACATCCACATCCCCTACCTCCCCGAAGGCCAGCGCGCACACGTCCTCACCATCATGTCCGAGATCGCCTCAGGCTTAGACCCCAAACGGCAGATCAAGCACCTCTCCGCGCCTAACAAGGTCCTCATGTCCGTTGCTGCGTGGCAGATCCTGTCCGCGGATTTCCTTGCCGCGCAGCGCCTGCGTAGTCTCCTCATGTCACACCTCGCGCATCTCTTCCAGAAACATCCTGGTCTGCTCATTTTCACGCCCACCACCCCGATCCCGGGGTGGAGGATTGACGGCGGGGAGTCAGATCTTGCGCATGGTCTGTCAGACGGGAAGTCTTCCGTCAGGAACATGGAGTACGTCTGGTTGGCGAATTACACAGGTTGTCCTGCTATCACTTGCCCCGGCGGTTACTCTAATGACGGCGTGCCGATGGGCATCATGGCGATGGGTGAATGGGGCGCTGAGGAGGAGTTGATTGCATTTGCCAGAGATGGGGAGGGCCTTCTGGAGTCTCTTCCTGAGAGCTTGGCTCCTGCTAGTGCGAAGGACGCGGATAATGACGGTAAGGGATTGAGGGCTCCGAGTGGAGAGAATGGGTTCTGGGAGGATGTTATTGCTAGGGCTGGAGCGAAGGCTTAGATTTGGATACTGTAAATAGTTTGTTTGCTTTAGGGCAGTGATTAATTGATAATGTTTAAGGAGAGTTTTATTCGGACAAAGGACTAACTAAGAAATACAGAAAACTTTTTCTCAAATCCTAATCCCTCAACCCCCCCAAAATCAAACAGCAACAGCATGTCCCTCCAACCCCATCCCCGGATACGACTTGACCGAAATCAAATCATCACTCGCCTCCGCCCTCCCAGACCCAAAATTCTTCAAATTCCACTTATCAACCCCCTCAATCCCCTTCAAATCACTCCCAAACGCACTAAACAGCTCCGAACTCAACCTCTCATACTCAGAGTACTCCTTGGGCCAGTTCCCCAACCGCTCAACAGCAAGTTTAAGCAGATGCAGATGCTTCCGGACATATTTTCCCGTCTGCTCTTCGACCCCTTCTCCGGGGCTGGGCGGTTCGGACTCGGAGCCCGAGGAAGCAGTGTCGAGCATTTCGGTGGCGCTAGGGTCGATGAAGACGCGCAGGGCGTTCTCGTGCAGGCCCGCGGCTTTGCGGTAGTATCTGTACGCGAGGTCGCGGCGGTCTTTCTGGTTCTGGTACCCCTGCGCGACGCTGGTGTACATCTGCGAGAGGAGAATGGTCATTTCGATGGAGCTCGTATGGCGGGGCCCGTGTACGCGAGCGCTGTTGTACACCATGTCCTCAGCCAGCCGAATAGCAGCCATGTAATCGCCGACCAGGTAGCGGGTGATTACAAGCATGCGGCCGAGGGCGAGGGTGTAAGATGATTGTTGTTGCCAGGGGGCGTGACGCTCGCGGCTATTCCACAATGAGGAGAGAACCCATTCCAGTGTGTTGTAGTCCTTCTGCTCGTCGAGAAGGCCGATTAGGTTATTCAGGTTGAGGAGGTCGAGCTGGGAGAGGTCGATTTTCTTGAGCTTGCAGTGGCCCAGGATATCGGTCATGATGATTGCGGAGGTACTGAGCATGTTTTTGCGAGTTGGGGGGTCGGGGCGGGGTTGGATGTCGCGGCCGGAGACTGCGAGGCCGAGCTTGAAGCCTAGTTTTATGGTTGAGACGGAGGAGGAGAAGCCGTCGTGAGCGCGGATGAATTTGAAGGAGGTTAGGGCTAGGTCGGAGGCGGATTGGTAGTCTTTGGAGGAGAGATGATGTTCGACGCGGTTGTAGCTGGCGATTGCGACGGAGCGGAGGAAGTCGTGGGATGTGTGTGTGCTGAAGTATTCTAGGAGCGCGCTGATGAAGACCTTTGCTTGGCCTGCGCTCACTTGGATCTTCTCGTTCTGCGTTGAGACGAAGTAGTTGGTGAACTGGTCCACGAGTCTTGCAGCAGGTGACCATCGACTTCTGGAACGGAGGAATCCATGCAGACGAGAAACAGTTCCGATAATGCTCTGGAAGCTGCTCGCCTTTGCGGAGCTGATTTCCGCCCTGAATTGCTCAAAGTACAGATACTCAGCCGTGAGCGAGGAATAGATCTCGTTCACGGTCAACGACGACTCCTCCCGTTCGCGGATACTGTACTCGAATTGAGCCAGGAAGGCCAGAGTCCGGCGATGCTTGACGGTCAAATCAAACTTGGCCGTGCTAATGTTCACGGTATCCTTGGCGACGATCTGGCGATAGATCTCCTGCGAGAGTTCCTTAGCGCGGTGGACCTGACCTGTCTCTATAAAACTGGAAGCGATGTGTTTGGCGGCAGCGGTCAGCTTCGTGGTTGAGGTCTCTGTCACCAGCACCTGGATGGCTGTTTCTTGGAGAAGCGAGACGGCGGAGTGTGTTTCACCTCGTTTGGCATATAGGGAAACAAGCTCGTCCATCTGCGAGAGCGAGTCTTGGTGTGCCCAGCCGTAGGTCGACCGAGTAGTTGCTAGACGTCGACTTCGGACCGAGATCACCTTCTGCATCTGTTCTTTGGAGACGGACTCTGTGGATGAGGAGACAGAAGCACACTGGTCTTCGTAGATCGCATCCAGCGTTGCCCGGATGTCCTCATGATCGATCTCTACTTCGTTCGACTGCGTCTTGAGCAGTTCTTCGTAGAGTTGCACTGCTTCGGACTCATACTTTGTAGATTCGCGACAGATGTTCGCCAGCGTCTGCGTGGCCTGAATCGTGATTGAAGCCGTTGTTCCAAAGACAGTCGTGCACGTCTTGCGATACTGAGCCGCCACATCATGAATAACATGGACGTCTCCCTGGACCAATCGCAGACACTGCACGTAGTTATCAAAGACCGACTTCACGAACGTCTGATCCTGAAGCTTAGGGCTGACGTCCGTGTGCGGCAGGGTATTGAACAATACCGTAAACGGCTGCAACGCATCCAAGAACCGTCCCTGATTGAACAATTCCGTGACGACACTAAGCAGCGGCTCGAACGCATCCCGGTGGCAGATGTTCGAGTCTTTATTCAAAACCTTGAAAATGCGCGAATAATAGTCAACCGATTCCGCGCGCGAATGCGTCATCTCAGCCAAAATCCGCAACTCCCGGAGCACAGTCGGATGTCCCTCCCCAAACCGCTTGCTATAGTTATTCAGGATATCCTGGTGGATGGGGATGAGTTTCTCCGTCTGTGACGTGCGCTCGTACACGCGGAGGAGATCCTTGGTCACCCGGTCGAGCAGTTTGTCGCCGGCTGGTCGAGAACGGCGGACGGCGTGGTAGAGACGAAGACAGATGTCTTCTTCTTTGGCTGAGCGGTGGCGGTAGCGGTAGCAGTCTTTCAGGCTTTCTGAAAGATCCACGCAGTGTTCGACGTTCTCGGATGGGAGGACGACGTCGTGGACTGAGGGGACGAATAGCGCGGACCAGATTACTAGCAGGATCTTCTTTAGGGTCTTGGTGGCGTCGCGCCAGCGGTGCTGGGAGATGTACATCTGGACAAGCGCGGTTGTGGCCGTGGAAGAGAATTGGTCCTTCTTGGATGCGGATGCAGATGTGCTGCCAAAGACCATCTCCTGCAAACTCGACTCGGTCATTGTCGATGTCGATGTGCCCGCGCTCTGCATGACTTCCTTGGAAGTGGACTGGGCAAGGTTCTGGAGCTCTTTATGCAGGGAACTCTGCTGGTTGACGTTCTGGGCGCACTTCTTGAACACGTTGAGAGCCGTACACGACAGTCCAACGGACTTCATGACCTTGGCGACTTCCATCAACTGCGATGCCACGGCTTCCGAGCTGGACATGGTGTGCTCGTACTCCTCCCAGAAACCCGAGAGAACCGAAGACGCCTCATTGTCTCGCTTCTGGGATTGCAGGAATTTGGAGTACAACAGGGTCGCCTTGATATTCTGCAACTCCAATTGCGAGGATCGTTCCAGACGGAAATCCCTGCTGGTTCGCTGCCAGATCTCGACATACGTGCGCTCCGCGACCTTAACATTTCCCTCGGCAGTAAATTTCTCAGCCTGCTTGGTCATGGAGTCGAAGTTGTAAGACCAAGAAAGGAGATCGTCTTCTTCCTTTTCGTCCAGCGCGAGAATAGTGCCTTCCTGAATCAATTCTCGACGGCCATGGAGCTGCACAAGCAACGATTCATCGGTCGTCAGAGACTTCGACCGGGGGTGACTCTCTGTAGAGGTTCCTTGAATCGAATTCAAGACCTCCTGCGCTTTGTGCTCTTCCTTGATCGACTTATAATGCTCCGACAGCTGCGTCGATGCTGAAACGACCATCTCGCTCGTGGCGCCGTAGTGGATCTTGTAGCATTCCACCAGCAGCTGGAGCATCTCGGTCCGCTTCGTCATGACATCGGTCTTGGAAGCCGTGACCCGGCTGGCGGTGATGTCCAAGAATTCCTTGGTGATTTGCATGGTGATGACATGCTGCACGGAGAGGACATTCTGGCAGGTCTTCACGGCGTGGTAGAAGACCTGGGTTGCCTGTATCTGTGCCGTGTCCCAGAGTGGCCGGAAAGCAAGAGCCTGGCAGAGGACCGCTTGTAGAGTGGCTGCGTGGTTACTGGTGAAGACTTGCTCGTAGATGCTGGTCTCCAGCGTACGCAGGCTGACCAGCGCCGGAGTTGGCTTGTTCTTCCACACGGTCGTTTCGAGCAGCGGCACGGCTGGGGTCGTGGGCATGACGGGGCGGAGTTCCTTGCTTGCAGTGTTGATTTCCTGGTCTGTGGTGCAGCCAAATGCCGTCTTCACATGGTTCACCCAGTACCGGAGAGCAAAGTCCAGGAGAGGGTACTTCTCCAATTGGGTCGTTGTGGACAGTTCATCCGAGGGCGTCAAGGATGGCTCGCTGCCGTTTGCCACGCTCCTCTTGACGTAGAGAAGCAATCGCTGAGCCAAATCCGCGTGCCTATTCTTGATGGCGGGTAAGAGGGAGCCCTTCGCGGACGCATCAGTGATAGCTGCACGGATCTGGCCATGGCGCAGATAGAGCATGTTACCCTGGTAGAGCACCAGTGATGTCACCGGCTCCAGAAGAGTCAGCGGGTTACTCTCCTGCTCCACAATGGTGCCCTTGTCCAACTGCACGGAGAGAAGAGCAGATAACTCCCGTAGCGTCATCGGACGGGACGCAATCGCGAGCCAGGACAGAATCTTCTTTCCGTCTTCGGGCAAGTTTGATCCTAGACGATGAGAGACGAGATCTGAGACGGAGAGATTTGCTTTCACCAAGCTGTCAATGGCCTTATCCAGACTCTCCGCGTTAGGATGATTCTCATCACGGATCTTCTTCGTCGCGAGCTTCCCCCATAGGAACGAGCCATTAGCAGCCTCTGTGATACGGGTGACGTTCAACTCTCGCTGCTCCTCGGACATCTGGCCGAATGCCGGAAAATCCTGGAAGACTCTCTGGACGACAGCAGCCACGTCGTCGAAGATTAGTTCCGGAGTGATATGCACCGTAGTCTGCGCTTTGGATGCCTTAGCTGCCGATTCCTCCTCAGAAGCTAGCACGATCAGCTTGAGCTTGGATGCGTTGGCAGCTGCATCCCGGAGCCGAGTTAGCAGCGCGGACTGGCCGCAGCTTGCTTCGTCGACGCCATCGATGACGAGGACGAGTTCCTTAGCGCCTTTAAGGCTGGCTTGGAGGGCATTTCCGAGGGCAGTCCAGAGGGTATTGTCGTATGTTTCGTTGTCGATTGGCTTTTGGGACTGGGAACATGCGCCTGAGAGGATTTGGTAGAGGTCGACGTTGCCGATGCGGCCGGCGAAGAGTTGGGAGAGGATAGATTTTGCAACTGCGCGAGGGGTTGTGTTGACTGGAACTCGACTATTGATTGGTACAAAAATCGACTTGTAGTTCACACCCCCAATCGGGTATTGCAGATGGTCATTGATGACTGTTGCCAGAATGGACTTGCCCGACCCAGGCCGACCAGTGATAGCCATTGTGTGCTGCTCGCCTTTCAGGAAACGGTTGAGGTACGGCATCAACCAGAGACAGGTCGATTCCTCGCGCTCCTGGGCGAAGTGCGCGGTGCTCTCGGTGATATTTGCTAGCACGGGATCTTCAGGTTCAAGCCATTGCCTGATAGTTTCGAGCTTTGCCACTAGAAGACATATAAGTTAAAACAAGCCAGTCCGCCAGAAGATGGAGAAACGACTTACCCTTGGTATCCACGCCTTCCTGTGCCAGCTGATGGCTCCACATCAACTCAGCAACATACTCGCACCTCGTACGGAAACTCTCAATAGGTGCCGCAAAGGTACTATAGATATCAATCGACACAGATCCAGACGTCAACTGTCCCAGCGAGTCGAGGAAGTGATTAGAAACCCCGACGACAAGGGTGACTAGATCCGCCAAAGCCAGGGTCAGCTGGTCTCTGATATTCTGTGAGACGATGAATAGTTCGGCACGGTCGAGTAGGTTGCCTAGGCCCATAGAACAGCGGTAGAAGAAGCCGAAAAGGTCGAGCAGGGCGCTGGAGTTTTCTTCTCCGAGCTGGAAATCGTCAGTATCAGCCTCACCAGGGGGTACTGCGAGAGGGACATACACCGAGTAAGCTTGCGCAATGAACATAAGCCAACTGCGCTGCCATATGATTATCCCCAGCGAAGCTCTCAACAGCCAAATCAAACGAATGCAAACGCTCAACAAACAACCTTGCCCACACCAGCACCTTATCATAGCTGCTCCCCTCCGCCGGCAGCTTCCTCATCCGCTCGGAGCTAACCCATTCTAAGATAGTCTCATAATCCGCTCCGATGATCCGTGAGGGAAGAATGTCACTGCTGCTGCGGTTGGCAAGTGAATGCACTATCTCAGTTAAGGCGGAGTTATCTGTGCTGGACTTGCGGGAGTTGCGGCGGGTGATTGAGGTGTCTCCATCCCGGAGAATGTCTGAGACTCGGCGTCCGCCGAAGAGGAGGTCTGAGGTGTGAGGTTCGAAGCTATGGTGGATGTGTGATTGGAAGGATGTTGCCATTTTCGTAGTTGTGTGTATGTGTTGTGTCAATATGTTTGTTTGGTGTCCGGGAGCAAGAACATACTCGCATTTTATGATATCTACTAAAATCGGTCATGTCAGGATGATTTCAGAGGTTACATTCAAGCTTGTTTTTTTTTTTTTTTTTTTTTTTTTTTTT